GCCTGGTCAGGGGGTCTAGGATTCCATGCTGGAGGGTGGAATCCTGCCCTGGCCTCCCAGCAGGGGGTTCCTGGCCCATCCGGGACAAATACCATTCCTTAAAAAATTCCAGGACCATCAACCAAGATGGGTGGTCTGAGGCCCAAGAGTCCTTAACAGTAAGCATGTCTGGAGCTCCGAGGAGTGGGATGGGTTTAAATAACCCTTGCTGGTACCAAGTTCAAGGGGGTCTCTGGGGCCCGTCTACTGGGTTGCTATCTATTGACCTAAACCAAGGCAAGCAAGTTTATTCAAAATCCATACTGGGGACTCCAGCTGGGTACAGCCTCCAGAGAACTCTAGAAAGCTGTCCAAGTTCTGAGCCTCACAGGGAGAACTTTACAGTCTGCAAGGAAAACATTTCACATTTTCAAGGATTTCTAGAATCTGAGTGACTGGTTAAATTAGGTACTGGATATTGTTTATGTACTGAGGGGAAAAGAGGCTGTTAAAACTGACCCTGTCCATTGAGAGCCTTAACTGCTGGGAACTGGACTCAGCAGTGCTGTCAACCTCAAAGTTAGTCCTTTGTTTTTTGAAGTTACTGATTTGCTCTGAAACAACTTCATTGTTGCTGCAGCTTCTTTGCAAGGCCTTCCAGCTGTGCCGTTGCCTTTAGCTTGCACCCCTTAATTGAGAACAAGGAGAGGGTACCCCTTTAAGTGTGGATGTTTACAGGCTTAATAAACAACTCCATATTGGTCCTATTTCTTTTGCCATTAACCAGAAAACTGAGACAAGGTCAATTACTTTCCTTGCTGGATACTATGTATTAATTGACTCATAAACACAGATAATAGAAGTGTAAATTTAAAGACATGTACATTTAAGCCACTAAATTTTGAACTTCTTCTGATTAACCAAAAATCATCCTAATGATGGTTTCTTGAAAAACATTTTGGGTTACTTTATTATACTCTAGAGTTTAGAATTTATACAGGCACCAGTATAAACCAATTATGTACAAATTCTAGTAGTACTATCCAGAGTTTAAAATTAGGCACAAAAGGGGAAGACAGATGTCTTCCACAGGTTAAATGTAAAACAGTTGGAGACTACTCATTTTAATTATCTTCTCATATGGGCAAGTTCAATCCCAAAGAGAGGCATCTCAAGGAGTCATGGGCAAAGAAATCAGCTTAGGTTTTTGGGGTTTTTTTTTTTATAGATTTATTTATTTATACAAGCACTGGGCACAGTCAGAAGAGTGGGAGGGTGAGAGAATCCACCAGAGCCAGAGTGGGGAACAGAACAGGCAGACCGACGAAATACACTGCTGAGGGGAGCAGCGGCCGTGGCAGGAGAGGTCTGCACTCCATGTGGGACCCTCGGCGCTGCAGAGGCTGCAGGCAGCTTCGCAGCCCAGCGCTCAACCGCTGTGCCACCAGGGGAGGCCCGAAATCAGCTTAGGTTTAAGTCTTTATCTTGTTAGATTCTGAGAGGGCTGCTTGCAATACGGGTTTTGCAAAGGGAAAAAGCCTTTTACAGGCACCAGTATAAGCATTCACTCTATGAATGCTTTTTTCCAATTTGGCCAAAGTGCTAATCACATGGTTATTATAAAAGTGAATCATTTTAAGTATCTTGTAAGGTTGTGGTCAACGTAAGCAGCAGGTATTTCTGGAAATGCTAGAAAACCTTAGAATCATTCAATAGGTGATGGCAAAAATCCTCCTCTGTTCAGCATTGAGACCCAAGTCAAGTTCTCAGAAAGACTAGAGAGGAGGAAAAGCTCATCCAATCCTACATTACTTATGAAGAGCACAACAGACAGATCAGCGAGACAAAAAAATGGGGAGGCATTAGACCTCTTACCTTATGTTCTGCTGTTCGTGGACTCTAACAAACATTTTCTCTTTAAATGTACAGTTTGACTGCAGCTGCAGAGAAGAGTGTTGGAAATGCCAGGGAGGTCCTTACTGGACATACGTGCTACCTGGGAGGTATTTCCTTCCTTCCCAGAGGCTCAGAGCAACCCTCCAAAATCTCCAGGATGCACGAAGAGGGCTTCCAGCTCCTGGTAGTTCCTGTCCTTGAGGCCTCACCTCGAGGGGGCTGAGGACAAGAAAATTGATCCCAACTACAGACAGGACACAGATGGGTCAGTCTCGCAGAACTCCTCTCCCAGAAACCACCCTGGTGGGAACACCCACAACACAAACACATTGGGCCACAGCTGCAAGCAGATGACAGCACTCACACCAGAGGAAAGGGTTCACAGAGGCCGGCACCCCAGGTCACTCACCTGTCTGGAGGGCAGGCAGTGCTCTCAACCTTTGCAGGAGGTGCCTTTGCAGAAACCAACGAAGCCAGGGGCACCCCAGGATGCTGATCACAGGCCCTCCCCATCCTTGGAGACCCACATGCTAAGGCAGCTGCTGGGACACAGCTGGGGCTCCCTACCTAGCCAAGGAGAGTCTGGATGACCCCCAAACCTGGGTGGTGAAAAAGCCAGAACTGTCTCCCCAGTTACCATTTGCAGTGGTATATAAAGAGGGAGGCAGGAAGAGCAGAGGGAGGCAGGGAGTGGCAGACATGCCTTATGCATGCTGGCTCAGGTGAGAGTTCTACAGGTTTGGAAGGGTGCTCCTACAAGGCTCAGGAGGGGGGAAGTTTGGGAAGTTTGGGGCTCCTCCTGCAGGTTGAGAAGGTTTTTCCTGTAAGTTTGGGGGACTCCTCTAGCAGGCTGGGGTCTTCTGCATTCTGGGGAGGGGGCTTCTGCAGGCTGAGCAGGGTCCTAAAGGCTTGTGAAGGTACCAGCTGGTCTAGCTAACTGACAGCTGTGGATATTTTCACTCTGGAACCGTCTTTACTGTTGAACTGGTTCTTAACCACCCCTAGATGGTTTCTAGGGGACTCAAGTGTGGTCAAAGATCTATTCCAAAGGCCAGTGCTTGGAAAACAGGGTCAGGTTCAGCAACCCCACCTTAGATGGTTACAGCCTGCTCTTCACACCTTTGTGCCTTTTCTAGTTGGTGACTTGCTATTTGAAGTCACCCCAAGGGCAGAGTAGTAGTGCTGTCTCCTGTTGCCCAATGCAAAGAAGTCCAGGATGGTCTTCTGGAGAAAACTCGTGAGCTCAAAAAGTTTCTTTTTTTTTAAAGATTTATTTATTTATGCATACAAGAATGGGGGTACAGGCCAGAGGTGCGGGGGGTGAGAGGATTCACCAGAGACAGAGTGGGGAACAGAACAGGCAGATTGACTGAAATACACTGCTGAGGGGAGCAGTAGGCGGGTCAGGAGAGGTCTGCTGCACCATGTGGGTTGCTCCCTGGCCAGGGATCAAACTCATGCTGCAGAGGCTGCGGTTAGCTTCATAGGTTGCGTCTTAACCCCTTGCGCCACCAGGGAGGCCCCGAGCTCAAGAAGTTTCACTCAGACTTGAGTTCTACTCCTATTGGCAATGAAATCAACATTACTGAATCAAAAACTATATTGAATAAAGTGTCTTTAAACAGTAACACGCATAAAACAGGTTATGTATCGCTGAGGGGACTATCCATGACCCTTAACTCTTGGGACTCTAACATGGTTCGGTATTAGCTAAATCAGTGTTGCTAAGTTTAGAGAACACATCTACCACAAATAAGGAGACTCAACTACATTTACACCAAGGGAAAGTGGTTTTTCACATGCATCTGATTTCCATGTGAAAAACCTTCCCTGAAATTATCCCTTGCTTTCCTAAGAACAAGCCACCTGCCTGGCAGTGGACCCTTCTCTCCTCTCAGCGTGTGTTCCTCCCTTTTCTCTCTTTTACGTGTCTTGAAGGATTCTCCAGGGGCCCTGTGCTCAAATCATAGATACACGCATGTATTTAAAAGTGAACTCTGAAGGGGGGGGTGGAAACAGGTGTTGAGGGTACTGGGAGGTGGGAAGCTTGAGCTAAGGGGGGGGGGGTAAAGTGAAAGGAGTGGCAAGGTATAGAAAAGGAAAGCCGGGCTAAGTTTCTCACAGGCAGGAACTTTATTGCGCTCCAGGGCGAGGTTCTACGCGCCCCCCGCCCTCCCCTCAAACCCCCATCTCCCTACCCATTGTGGGGGAGAGATGTCCTTTTATAGGGTGAGGAAAGGTAGGGTGGGAAACCGGGTTTGCAGGGCAGGGGAAAGAAAGGTTTACAGGGCGGGAAAAGGTTTATTGTCTTTTTTTTTTTTTTTTTTTCTATGTGGGCTTCCTCATTCCTGCCCCCTGCATCAACCTTTCTGTAAGTAGAAGTGTATTCTGTAGAAAATGTTCCCGCAAAACTAAGTGCAAATATATGCGGCAGGGCAGACATGGCTATTTCTTCTTCTCGGGCATCCACTCTTTGAGTCTCCAAAGATTATTATAAAAATACTGCCAAAGAATGTTTTTAGTCTTATTGCTAGAGCAATCGCACTGCACCCGCCGGCCTACAGGTGATTGTAGCCTTAAATTTCGTCTTTCCGTTGCTTTAGGGCAGAGGGCGGGAGAGGGAGAGGGTGTGCCCTCTTCCAACATGGCGGCCCGGGCTTCACCCGCTGCGCGCATGCTCTAGGACGGAAACCGAAGCGCCGAGTGAGGCCGTGGCGGACGCAGCGCCAGACGGCCCTGGGCGCTCCCAGCATGCCCTGCGGTCGCCGGAGGGCCGACGTCTAGGAATGGGGACGCCGGGGGCGTGTGGACGCGTCGTCAGATGCGGGGTCCGCGCTTGATTCCGGCGCGCGCCGAGGGCACGATGGAAGCGTGGCGCTGTGTGAGGAGGGGCTACGGCCGCTGTGTGGTGGGGCGAGGCCGGTCAGTAGGGCTGGGCGGCGGGGAGCTCGGCGGGGAGGAGGGAGAGGAGGTGCAGGGGCGGACCGGCCCGCGGAGCCCGAGCCGTCGGAACCGGCGCGCCTCCTGGCCAGCTGGGCCGCGGAGCCCAGCACTCCCGGCCCGGCGGCGCGCTCGCCTTCCCGCCTGCGGCGGTGGTCTCCCAAACTTCTATCGCCCGCGGTCCGCCCGGCCCCCTCACCGGGTGCTTGAAATCGACCCCCTTTTCTGGCAAAGAGCGGTGGTGCGTGCGGGCCGGTTTAGCATCGCCCGACGCCGAGTCAGCCAGCTGTGGGGCGGGAGGTCCTGGTGTTTGTATCCTAACGCGCGTAAAACGAACCCCGACATTGCGCCTGCAGAACGTTTGGTGGTGGACCCCTTGTGGGAAGTCCCCTTTGTGCCTCCTTGTTACGGGTTGGGTAAGTGATGGGAACGCAACCCTGGATGACAGTTCAGACCAACATTCTTGAGCACCAGTCGGGGTGCCAAGCTTCGTGGGGAGGACCCCTAATTGACATGAAAGAGAAAGCCTGGGCCTCGGAGGAGCTCATCCTCTTAACCGAAAAGAAATCTCCACCAGCAGCTGCAGATACAGACAATCCGTCTTGGAGTACAAGCTCAGTATTTCAGTACAGGAGCTTATTAGGAAGGAAAACGAATGGAGCAGGCACCTAACTTCCTGGCGTTCACCCTTGCTACAAAACAGGGTAGAAGGCCCACGTCATGTGTTCACAAACTTACCATTAAGTTGAATTAAGAGAGCAATTTGAGAAGCATAAACTGCAAAAATATATAGCAAAAAAAAGTTCATGCCATTACAGTGAAAAGACCAGAGCATATAAAAGTTACTACATTTGAACAAAATTCCTTAGTGACTAAGAAATGCACCTTTAATGAATTCTGAAGAGAAGAAACCCTCCTCTGAATCCTAACATTTTGTCAGGAGAGTATAGTAAAAGAAGGTGATGTTTGAGCAACCTGATGACACTGCTTTGGAGAGACTGGATGGGTGAAAATGGTGCTGTTGGACTTGGATTGTTGGTGCATTCCGAGGAAGCAATCTCTGTCCTCTTTGGTTTCCCCCAAGGAACAACAAACTTAAAGAAGAGAAAAATATCCACCCAAAGTTTAGAGAAAGGTACTTAGTAAAATTGTGACAGGTATTTGTTCTTTTACCTACCTAGATGCTTGGAAATGCTGAACTCGCATAAAAACCTATCCAGAAATAAATCCAAGCCAGAGTAGAGACTCTGTATTTAAGTATTGTGTCTGCTGTGGATTTTGTCCACGAATTTGTTAAGTGGTAGAAAGAGACTCTGAATACTAATTTGTTGACTGATTCATTTCTCCATGGACTCTTTGAAGCCTGGAGGAGTCTATCTTAATTAAGTGTTTAGAATGTTATTGATTTTGTTTAGGGAGAATATTGAGATATTGCTGTTAATAGTTAAATCACAGCTGCTCCCCTCACCCCCACATCCTTCAAAGATTTCAAAGTCAGATTTTAAATATTATACATTCTCTTCCCTTGAGGAAACATTTAGATTTTATGTTCTATAGCAGAACAAAAAGTGGTGCCTCAAGGAGTGTATTTCTTTGTTTTAGATACCCCATGCTACCCCATCACCAGAGAAGTCTGGGCAGAGACTGGACAGCACCGTGGGAGACTCTGCAGAGGGGCTGCTGGAACAGACACCTTTCTAGCTGTCTGAGGTGGCCTGGACATTACTCTCAGGCCCCTTACCCGTATTTGAGTAGTAGGCATTTTTCACTGCACTGGAGGCCACCTTGTTTATTTGAGTCTAGAAGTCAGTTTCAGTGCTGGAACTGGAGACCGGACACCCTCAGCAGAACAGCCTTGAGTCATCTCTCTAGTCACGTCATGAACTCTGAGGGAGGTGAGCCTTCATCGAAACGAAGGAAACACCAAGGTAAAAGTGACGTTGATCTTGGTGCAGAAATAGACGCAAGCCATGGCTAATTAAAACTTTCATATCTAATCCTTAAGAAAATCTGTGGGTTTTACAGGCATTTGGTGTTTATTTTTAGCCAGTAGATTTCTGCTAGGAAAAAGGAAATTTTTCTTAAATGAAGTCTTTATCTTCAATTATGTGGTTTTGGAAGTAAAAATAGAAATGACTACACAGAGAATTAGATTAAGAAAGAATGCAGAATAGATTAAAGCATTAAGAATAACATTTAAATCCAGTGTTTTCCAAAGTTCCTTAGACTTCTTCGAAATTGGTACATATATTCTTGGATGTCCAGATTTTTTTTTTTTTAATTTCATGTTTTCATTTTTAGTGCTAACTTCTTTGTAAGACCAAAAAGACTCTCAAATAGAAACAGTCAAAAATGCAAGGATTTTCATACAGAATTCCTTATTAAACCTGCATTTCTCAAACTGGGGCCTATAGATAAGATCTCAAGTCTGTAGGAAGCTTTATCTTTTAATAAGGAGACCACACCTTATTCAGCTTTGAGAAACATTTTCTAGCTATGTTGATCATTTCCATTTTTGTCATCATCTTTTTACTCTAAACAAGTTCTTAGGCTTTCTCTGTGCTGCCAGTCCTGTGCACGCCACCCACCACGATACCCCCAGCTCCCCAGGTGTCCATGTCTAAGTGGAGTTGAGATTGTCTTTCTTACTGGGCAGTGGTTTTCAGTGAAGATTATTCCTCCGAAGATACTGGAAAATAGGTTGTGCGAGTTAATGTGTAGGAAGCTGGCAAGTTTGGCGAAGGAAAACCTCAGAGCCAGTGTTGTCTCCGAGTCAGAGCTAGAAGGTTAGTTAGTGCTCGTTGAGGTCCTCTGGGTGCTCTTTTACCTGTAAGGACTCTGGTCTTCAGTTGTCTTCCAGGCAGCGTTTTTATTTTGTTTGTTTTTTAAAGATTTATTTATACTACAAGAACTGGGGTCCATGCCAGAGGTGCAGGGGGTGAGAGGACTCACCAGAGACAGAGTGGGGGCAGAACAGGCAGATGGACTGAAATGCACTGCTGAGGGGAGCAACGGGGAGACAGGAGAGGTCTGCTGCGCCATGTCAGTCACCAACCTGGCTGGAGATCAAACTCGTGCTGCAGTGACTGCAGACAGCTTCATCGGCTGCGTCTTAACCCTTTGCACCACTAGGGAGGTCCCCAGGCAGCATTTTTAAACCACTGTTGAGCTATGTGTCTGAGTTACTGCACCGAGAACCTAGTAAGAAACAAATCTATTTGAATAGAACTTCTAAGCACTGAAGAATGGAAATCACCTTATACAGCACTTAAGCACACCTTATGCTTATGAACAGATATTTCTGTGGGTAAATAGTATATTTAGTGGCATTAAACTTTGTTTCCTGAGAACAATCCACATCTGTAATGGGGGCCTTAGATGCTCTCCTCCGAGTGTGCCTTGCTGGTCGGGTTAGCACCCCCTTCTGTCTAGGCTTTTTAGAACTGCTTGCTCTCAGAGTGGTGTGCCGAGGCGTGAGCCAGGCCTCTGCCAGGTATTATCATTCCTGCTTGAACATGTTGCCCACTTCAGGGTTTCCTAGTGTAAAATAGCACCTGCTCTGAACACTTGTGAGGCTACAAGGAGCTATGTCCAGGGGCCTGACACTGCTGACTCCATAGTAGGTACACAGAACACCGAAGTGCTATCTTCCCTTGAAGGGATGGGGAATTACATTTACCTGCTGATAAACTTGGACTGCAACCTGACTCTCTATATCCATTCTTCCTAGGTATGGGAATAAGGAAAAGGCTCTTCGTTAAGCCACTTCCAATATCTCACTAATACTTTTCAATCAAGAAACTGCATTGCTAATTTGCCTGTCATTTTCAAGTGATATTTGAAGGATTTGTGTCATGCAATCATGACTTTTTAATTAGGCACCCTAAAAACTCGATCAGGTCTCTTGCTTAATTTCTTTGATTCATCTGTCTTCTCTGCTGTGATCACCTTGTTCCTCATGACATGGAAGGTATATAAGCTTTTGTGAATTTATGTTCTGACTGTATTAAAGCCAAAAGCTATCCCCTCTATCAGTAGTTTCCAAATCATCTTCCATGGAACCCTAGTGTTTGAGCCATTTCTGTATGTTCATTGAAAACAAAAGTGGTTGTCATAAAAGGCTTGTTTACCTCATCATCCCAGTCTAACCATACCAGGGCAGATGTGCTGATGGGCTGTCCATGCTCAAGAAGTGTGACAGCAGCCCTGTTAATCAGGTAGCCTGACGGTCTCAATTATTTAAAAAACTGGAATTGCAAAGAGAATTGATTTACAAATCCTCATTGCCGGAATATAAAATCACTAGTGCATTTGTGCATCTTTACGTATATACGTTTTGCAGGAAATTAAAGATGAAGTTTTTAGATCTTTGTCTTTGATGTTCTCACATGGTGGAGACTCTGGGGCAGTGCTGTGACTTTGACGGCTCACATCCCCTCGGCACGACTCAAGCCCTTTCCATCCTGTATGCATGTGAGCACTCAAGGGTTTGCAACAAAAACCACTGTAGACAGTCCCCAATTTATGAATGAACTGTGTTCTAGATCATTAGTTCTGTATTCCCATAGAATCTATTGCAAATTTCAAAGTAACTACTGAGCTAAAACAGCCTTAGTTCTGGGCCCCTGGGGGGTGGGATGGCCATATTCAGTGAAGGATAGGGAGGAAGTAGTTTCCTCCCTTTCTGGAGCATAGGGCAGGCTCTAGACTAAATTCTGCAGTCATTGGAGACTTTGGTTAGGGAGATGTTCTTTCTTCCTTCCACCTTTTTCTTTTCTCCTCAGGCCCCCTGCCTACCTCACTATCCATAAAAATCATCTTCCTTTTATACCCTTTGGCCATATTTTGTGTCCTCTCAGTACAGTAGATATCAGCATTCAGATCTTGAGGAACACAGTCTTGTTAAATTAATTCACCCCAGGGGGTAGTTTTACTTCATTAGCATTTTATAGGGTATGTTGCTATCCTGATTATAGTTATGTTGTCTATGTAGAAGATTTGGAAGAAATCTTCCACCCACTCAGAGAGCTCCTCTTGAAACTACTGGCAGATTCCTTTTAGTCTTCCTCTCACCCCCACCCCTGCTATACAGAATATTTTCCCTCAATTTAATTTTTAATTCATTGAATTTAGGTATCGTAATCCAGTGATGTGAAAGCCCTCAAGCAGGAAGAGAGAGGTGGTCCAGGCCAGGGCTGTGACTTCCTGTGTGATCTTGTTATTGTTGGAGTCTACTCCAAGTCTGTTTTTCCAAGTTTTTCTCACTTGTCATTTTGCCTTTCTTTTCAGCTCATAGATTCTCAAAACATTCCACCTTTCTTCCCAGGTGTCCATGGTTAGTGTCCTCTAACCGAGTGAGGGAGAGGTGAGGTCAAAGTGAATGTGTCCACATGGTAGTCATTTCTAAGTTGGGGACTGCCTGTCACTTAGACTCCCATGCTGTTTGTCTTTCCATCGCCTCCCCAGGGCACGTGATGTCTCTGCAGCCTGTGGTTGCCGCACACTGGCCTGTGTCAGGCAGCATCCAGCAGTTAACCACCTTTCTGTCCCTGTGGTGCTTCTAATTTTTGCTTTGGTGAACATCACACATGGTCACACATGACTTTGTGCACATAACTGTGGTGTGCATTAAAAAGATGACTTTGCTTGTGTTCACATCAGTGTTTCACTAAGTGTACTTCCCTGTGTTGCCATCACACACCCTGCGTTCTTGTCTAAACCATAATTCGGAGGTAAGAGTTGTTTCTGGAACTTAATCATTTGATGATCTTAACCTTGCTAATAAGGAATAAAATTCCATGTCAAACCATCTTATTGAAGAGTCAGTTGTGACACACAGATGTGTCGTTATGGTTGTAAAGTTGCTAAGCGTCTGTGGCAGATCCACTTCTTAACCATAACCACCCCTGGAGTCTCAGTTTCCGAACACATACTCTCAGCCTCCAGAATGACTTGCCAGATCCACTGTTCGTACCTCTTGGTCAGTCAGTATCTCATTTTACTGCCTTTGTGATCAAATTGGTGATCCCCCACTAGCCCTTCGGGGCTACATTGCCATTTCCTTGGGGAGAACATCCTGTCCATTGCCATGAGAATTGTTTAAAGGCAAGAAAATTCTTCCAAACAGGAAAACGTGGTCTGATTTTCATTAATCCTTTCTATTGTGTAATGTATTTTAACAGGCATTATAAAACGGCATTGGGAATATATATGTAACCACAATAAAGAAAAAACGAATGTCCTAGAAGACATAAATGACTCGACATGTGAAGACACTGAGAACAAGTTTGACTTTTCAGTGATGTCCTATAATATACTTTCACAAGACTTATTGGAAGATAATTCTCACCTGTATAGACACTGCCGGCCGCCAGTACTTCACTGGAGTTTTAGGTTTCCCAATATTCTGAAAGAAATTAAACATTTTGATGCAGATGTAAGTGCAAAATATCTTCAAAATTCTTCACACAAGAAAAAGTTGGGTTAAATGGTTCTTTTGTGATGTACATGGTCTAATCCCTGTCATTTGTGGGATAAGGAGAAATGTTTAAATCAGTGATGGAATAGTTTTTAACAAGGCGTCAAGACTTCTGCCAATTCATTTGCCAATAGTGGTTGATAAATAATCTAACTTTCTAAAAATGATCCTAAAAGTAATAAGTATTGGTTGGTTTGTAACAGAGACAGCATAACACAGTGTCCAATAAATATATGTCCTTTGATTTGCAATTTAAAGAAATGATGTGAAAGTAAGTCTAGATGAAGGCATCAAAGAAATCACCTCTTATGAAAGGACTAGAAAGATCTCGTACTAATGAACATGTAAATTCAGGAAACATATCCTGACGTGTAAATTTAAACTACTGCTTTTGGGAAATAGCAGTTTGGGACAGTAAGAGCATTTCATGAAGGACTGATCAAATTTGGAAAAATTAATTTGACAGATCTATAACAAGAAAAAAAGATCCTAAGTCTGATTTCAGTTTTCATCAAGTTTTTAGAAGCCTGTTTTTAAAGATGGAAGCGCCAGTGAGTTTCTTGTTTTCACCTTTGTTTTAATTCAAGGCATTTTTCTCTTCCAAGGTACTTTGCTTGCAAGAAGTTCAAGAAGATCATTATGGAACAGAGATCAGGCCGAGTTTGGAATCGTTGGGTACAGTGTAACTTATTTATTAGCCAATGAGACTTTGAGGATTTGTGGATTGTGAAAGCATAATTGCTATCAAAAATCTGTGGTGTATTTGATCCAGAAATCTTAATTTGAAAGAAGAGTTAATACCCATTTCAAAAGGTTAGGAAAAAGTTGACATATTTCAAATGGAAACTTGGGTTGGGACCTCATTTTCATGCAGAGGAAAGGCGAGTAAGGTTCTCTTAATAGCTTCCTTTCCAGGGGCTACTCCAGGTTCTGGGTCAGGGGCCTTCTCTTAGTTCATCTTTTAACACCAGTGTCCACAAGCACCTAACCATGGAAGCTAAAGACCTGTTTGATGAAGTGCACTTCTCGAAACAGGCCATCTGTTTGAGAAATGCCAACTACTTTGCATTCATCGAGGGAGCAGATGTCCGCCTCGGGCCTGCTATGTGCCATGTGCCGCTCTGGGCAGTGGTGTGGCGCTGAGCAACAACAATAAGAAGCACATTCTTAGCAGAAAGACTGCTAAGAAGTAAATCATGCAATAGGAGAAAAGCAGGAAAGTGGGATTGGTCAGGTTTCAACTTGAAATAATCAGAGGGGGTAAAGGAACAATCCATGCCTAGAACATTCCAGACAGTGGGAAAGGCCTGGAGGCTGGTGTGTGTGGAATGGAGCAAGGTAGGGGAAGAGAGGCAAAAAGCTTAGAGATGTTGGGGGATTTGTCGCTTCTCTTATTGTTGTTTTTTGTTTGTTATGGTGTGGAGGAATATATTATTGGACCTGACTGTCTTAGGTGAGACTCCCTTTACGAGGCTGGAAATGAGAGTTATGCAGGTGGTACTGCAGGTAGCACATCGAAGACCTGCCAGGCCCAGTCCCACGCTTTTGATCCCAGCTCTTGCTCACCTTAGTAATATTCGGCATAAAACTCTTTGGTGAACGTTGCTCAGAACTGTTAAGAGAGCTGCGTCTTGCTGTGTGGCATGTAAGGACAAAAGTCCCTCCTTTTAAGCTCATTTCTTTCTTTTAGGTTATCACTGTGAATACAAGATGCGGACGGGAAAGAAGCCAGATGGCTGTGCCATTTGCTTCAAACATTCTAAGTTTTCCCTCTTGTCCGTGAACCCAGTGGAGTTCTACCGCCCCGACGTGCCTCTCTTGGACAGAGACAATGTTGGCCTGGTGCTCCTCTTGCAGCCCAGAAGTGCCAGTGCTGCCCCTCCTGCCATCTGCGTGGCTAACACACACCTGCTGTATAACCCTCGGCGAGGCGATATTAAACTGACCCAGCTGGCGATGCTCCTGGCAGAGATGTCCAGCGTCGCCCGTCAGAAAGACGGTGGGCTCTGCCCCATTGTGATGTGCGGTGACTTTAATTCTGTTCCCGGTTCTCCGCTCTATAGTTTTATAAAGGAAGGAACATTAAATTATGAAGGACTGGCCATAGGGAAGGTAAGTGAGGGCTCCGTGGTGCCCGCCGCGGGCCAAGCCGCTGGGCCACACTGCTATGAGCCCAACACGGTGGCTGTTCGGAACCTTGGTGACCGTCCCCACACCAGATGCCATGAGGTCCACGACCACTCATAAGAACTTGTATTCCCTTGGCTGAGTTTCATCTTTTCCACCTACTCCTGGCAATATTCTGCTTGGAGAGGAATTAGCCAACAAAAAGTCCAAAATGGGGGAGGAGAAGTGCAACGTAAGCAATGACAGACACAAACACTTGAGGACTAAGGAGCTGCTCGCAGGCGCCAGATGCGGTGCTGGACGCCGGTGGGGCAGCTAAGGTAGCAGCAGAATAGCTGTTTGCTATTGACTGCATGTTTACCTTCACCTAATGAGATTTTAATTATGCAACTTGGTTTAATTTAGCCCGTATTTTTATTTTCACTGTGCTTTATTCTAGATCAGATCATTTGATCTCTACTACATTAAACCAAAATAAGCTCTCCACCACTGAGGTTTTTAAAGATTTTATTTTTATTTATGCATACAATACCTGGGTGTAGGCCAGAGGTGCGGGGGGTGAGGGCAGTGAGAGGATTCACCAGAGACACAGTGGGGAGCAGAACAGGCGGATTGACTGAAACAGTGCTGAGGGCAGCAGCAGGCAAGACAGGAGAAGTCTGCTGCACCCTGTGGCTCAGCTCCCTGGCCAGGGATCAAACTCAGGCCACAGTGGCTGCCGACAGCTTCATAGTGCTATGACTTAACTCTTGCGCCATCAGGGAGGCCCCTCCACCATTGAGTTTTGAGTGATCATTTAAAATTCGAGGTCGATCTCGCTTAATATTTTCTTTACTTGGGAACTATAATACAGACAGCAAAGAAGTAGGAGGGACTATATTAGTCTAAAACTGGAGATCATTTAGATGTCCAAGTTAGAAACATGTCAAGATACTCATCTTCATGTCAATAGTAAGTGCTTTCTGAACTACATTTGAACATGATTTATAAACACAAATTATACAACAAATAAAGAGTAGTACTTGCCATTTGGATTCCCTTTTACTTAAGACAAGAACTTTTCAGTACATAAACTATTTGATCTATTCACTTAAGATACCTGTTGAAATTTTGTTTAGGTATCTGGCCAGGAACAGTCTTCACGGGGACAAAGAATTTTATCTATTCCAATTTGGCCCCCAAACCTAGGTATCTCACAGAACTGTGTGTATGAGATACAGCAGGTTCCAGAAGTAGAAAAGACAGGTAAGTGTCTGCAGTACACTTTGGCAGTCTTTTTTATCATGGTGCTCCCTCTGAAGAAGTAAAACCACAATTTTAAAGGGTACCACCACAGGGATGAGTCTTCATATATAAAAATAGTTCGTATATAAAGTTGATATAAAAAATCTTCATAGATAAAAATTACCCCATTTTAAGTTTATCCTTTTGAAGTTGAACTTCCAAAAGTATGTTTGCATGAGTTCCTTGCATGTTGCTTTGGAAGTGTTTAGTTTTATTTTTGCAAATTCTGGAGAGGCTATCAACACATAGATTCCAGGATGAAAGATGTAACGGGGCATCTAAGTTCTGTGTGGCTTCTGTTCCCACACACTCATGCCTGGAGTCAGAAGACTGCTCTGAGGCAAACTAGAACAAAGCATGTTGTCATATTAATCTATTTCTCTTGGCCTGTGCAGACGGTGATCCAACACAGACACAGCTGGATAGACCTGAGGTCCTGGTGACAGCCGAAAAGTGAGTTCTGGAAAGAACCATACGCACTTGCTGACTAGTCAAGTAAAGAAAATCATTTCTCAGAAATCACCTGAATGAAAATGATTTTCCACGCGGATAAAGAGTGCTGACTCTAAGTCAGATGGACCCACATTCCATTCCCAAACTTCGGTGCTTTTTTTTTTTTTTTTTTTTTTTTTTTTTTTTAAAGATTTATTTATTTATTTATTTATTTATTCATTTATTTATTTATACAAGCATTGGGTACAGTCAGAAGCGCGGGAGGGTGAGAGAATTCACCAGAGCCAGAGCGGGGAGCAGAGCAGGCAGAAGGACCGAAGTACGCTGCTGAGGGGAGCAGCGGGTGGCAGGAGAGGTCTGCGCGCCATGTGGGACCCTCCTCCGGTGGCCGGTGGCCGGGGAGCAGCCGGGGATCGAACTGGCGCTGCAGAGGCCGCGGGCAGCTTCGTAACCCAGCGCTCAACCGCTGCGCCACCGGGGAGGCCCCAAACTTCGGTGCTTTTTAACTCTGATTTTCAATAAGAATTTTACTAACTATGAGGGTCCATGTAATTAGAGGGTTAAATGAGACAGTGAGCAAAGGTCAGTGCCAGATTTAGTATTGCCGCAGCAGCTCCTTGACAGGACAGAGCATGTCCACTTACCCTCTGCAGTGTGTCCCCATTTTTTTTTTAAGATTTATTTTTACTTTTTTTTTAATTTTATTTTTTTAATCTTTTTTTTTAATTTTTTTTTTTAAGATTTTTATTTATTTATTTATACAAGCACTGGGTACAGTCAGACGCTCGGGAGGGTGAGAGAATTCACCAGAGTGGGGAGCAGAGCAGGCAGAAGGACTGAGGTACACTGCTGAGGGGAGCAGTGGGTGGCAGGAGAGGTCTGCGCGCCATGTGGGACCCTCCTCTGGTGGCCGGGGAGCAGCTGGGGATCGAACCCGTACTGCAGAGGCTGCGGGCAGCTTCGCAACCCAGCGCTCAACTGCTGCGCCACAGGGGAGGCCCTATTTTTACTTTTTTATGCATGCAAGACTGGGGTACAGGCCAGACGTGCAGCGGGTGAGAGGATTCACCAGAGGCAGAGTGGGAAGTAGAACAGGAGGATCTACTGAAATCTGCTGAGAGGAGTAGTGGGGAAACAGGAGAGGTCTGCTGCGCCATGTGGGTCACCTCCCTGGCCAGGGATCGAACTCAGGCTGCAGTGCTTGAGATAGCTTGCTAATACTGAGACTTTAACCCCTGCGCCACCGGGGAAGTCCTGTGTCCCCATTTTTTAAAGAAACTTAGCATCACAGAAAAATGTCAAATGTGAAGAGAGGACTTAACTACATTTGAAAACAATCTGTAGAATGATCCCAAAAGGAACACCCAGTAGAAAGGAGAATTTGTGCTTTTGAGCTACAGGAAGAGGTCCTGGCGGGAGGGACGTGAAAGAGTACGGACATTTTATGAATGAGAAGTGGCTAGTAGGACTGGTTGACTTTTGTTATAACATTTGAATGTAGGGGCCAAGTTAGAATCATCACTCATCCATTTTGTCTGCTCTCATTCTCACTTCATTTTGATACCTTGTTTTTAGAAAACATCTCCCAAATAAGCTAGTGAGGAGAATGCAATTTTTTTCAAGTTTTAAAAAGTATTTGATAAATCATGTTAAAACTTTTCAAACATAATAAAAGTTCCCTGAATAGGATTAATAAAAAAGCTTGTGTGACTAATAAATTCTTACTATGAGTAATCTAAAATCTTTATAACAAAATGAGGTGTAAGAGGAGACACTTTTAAGTATCTTTAAGTACGGTGTGTTTACATGCATGATTTATATCTGAGAACTACACAGTTGATAGCTCAGTTTGCAGAATACCTGCTTTACATTTAACAACACTGTGTCCTTAGACACAAAAAGCTGCTACAGCTTGGACGTGAGGACCCTGGCACTGACATGAGCTCCTGTTAAGCAGGGGCTACCTCTTGGCCTATGTATCCTCAGCTCCCAAGATAGCTTCTGGAACTTTGTCAATGTTTTGTAAATGTCCGTTGGATGGATTTTAAAAGTTTAAGTCTTATTTTCCTTTGTGACATAAGAGATTACTTGTTTTAAATAGAGGTAATGTTGGTTTGCCACACTGTATGTGATTCAGAGGTGTGGGACTCCAATCTTCAGATGTGTGTCTCCACACAGCCTCTCCACCTCTGACATAAAGATTCTCATGCTCGTGCTGGGTTATAAGTAATGGTCCATGGATCTGTGATGGGAGTAATGGTAAGACATTAAACAAAACTGTCTCACTTGTAATAAGAATAATAGAAGAAAAATACTACCTCTCCCAGCGAGTCTGACTGCCTCCAAATGGCAGTCCTGCAGGCCACTTTGATTTTAACAACAAAACCAAAAAAACTTCTGTTTTAAAATACGTGTTCAGGGCCTCCCTGGTGGTGCAGGCGATTGAGCGCTGTGCTGTCAAGCTGTCCATGCCTCTGCAGTGTGGGTTTGATTCCCAGCTGACCAGGGAGATATCCACGTGGCATGGCAGACCTCTCCTGTCTCACCCACTGCTCCCCTCAGCAGTATATTCCAGTCAGTCTGCCTGTTCTACTCTGTACTGTGTCTCTGGTGAATCTTCCCACCCTCCCGCACCTCAGGCCTGTGCCCCGGTTCTTGTATGCATGAATAAATAAATCTTAAAAAAAAAAAGTAATAAATAAGTAAATAAAAATAAAATACATGTTCACTGTAAGTGGGGGCTCTTAAATGGGGAATATTGAGCTGGCCGCTGTGTTGATGGGGTTTGGCTCTCACTACGTGTGTGAAGAAATGCTGAATCACAACATGGTGTATTTAAACAAGCTTGCCAGGAAATGAAACAATGCTTTAAATAAGAGGACTTAAAAAATTCACGAGAAACTTGAATCCTAAACACTTTTTCTTTTTAATTCAGATTATCTTCAAATTTGCAGCACCACTTCAGCTTGTCATCTGTTTATTCACATTACTTTCCTGACACTGGAATTCCAGAAGTGACCACCTGTCATTCCCGAAGTGCCATAACTGTGGATTACATTTTCTACTCTGTTGAAAAAGAGGATGTTGCTGGGCAGCCAGGTGTGTGATCTTAAACTCTGCACGAGGACATGGGTCCTAAAGCCTCAAGGCTAGGGAGCTAACTAACATCTAGCTGAAGTCCCAGATTTAGAAATTAAGGTTTTCAGATTGGTGATATGCTTGACAGATGGGTGATATGTTTGAGTAAGTAGAGTGTGTCCCCCATGCTGGCCTAAACTCCAGTCAGGCTCTGCCCTTCCAGTTCACCTACCATGGATCTTCCGTGTCCTCCCTGGGATAGTGTCTGAATGTACTGGGTCTGTGGTCCTGGCCCACAGCCTCCGGCTGCCTCAGGTGCAGCTGCCCTCACACTGCAGTTCTGTCACATTGACTCTGGAAAACTGGGTCTTCCTGAAAAGAAAAAGTCTGGGACTATGTCCAGAGAGTAGAGGTGCTAAGACACTTTTCCTTGTATGATTCAATGAAAAATCAGGTTTTAAATATTAAAGAATATAAAGTGGAAAAGGAAATGGATTTTAAAATAACCAGAAGTCAGTAAATACTTAGAAAATTTTGATAGTCCCAAGCATGGACAGCTGTGATGTCTCCAAATTTCCCTTCCCTTTCTCTCTCTCTCTCTCTCTCTCTCTCTCTCTCTCTCTCTCTCTCTCTCTCTCTTGTGCTACTTTTCTTCTTGTCTCTTCCCTTCTGTTTGTTTTCCCTTCCTACTGAGGTTACCCTCATCTGTAATCCTCAGGGATGACTTGCTTTTTCCCCACAAGTTCAGCACTACAAAATAGACTTCCAGGTTTGAATTTGTAGTGATTATGGTGGCTGTTGTGCTGGGAACATCCACTAGGTGGTAGTAGTGCACCATGCACCATGATCCTAAATGTTAAAAGAGCGTGTTGTCCTATTGCATGGTACCAACGCTCTGCACCAAACTATACTAATTTAGTCTCTAGTCATGGTATAAACTTCCTCCTCATCTGTGGTGGGTCTTTCTGCTTTTATGCAACTGCAGGATGGTTGGTGGATGAATTTCATATATAGTTGTCAATATCAAATTACTTTTCAGCATTCTTATTTTTATTCTCTTCCTATAGTATATTGATATTTTTCTTTAAAGACTTATAGAACTTGAAACAGAAAAAGAACCTGGGAACTCTCTGGTGGCCTCGGGGTTAGTCTCAGCACTATCACCCCTGCGGCCTAAGTTCGATCCCAAGCCAGGGAACTGACCCACAGCGCAGCAAACCTCTCCTATCTCCTGCTGCTCCCCTCAGCAGTGTATTTCAGTGGATCCACCTGTTCTGCTCACCACTCTTGTTTCTGGTGAATCCTCTCGTGCTCCCACCCCACTTCCCCACCCCCCATACCGCTGGCCTACACCTCAGTTCTTTTATGCAAAAAAAATTAGGGGGAAAATTCTCAAACTGCTGTGTATTTCACATTTTAACTGTTATAGCTCAGTAAATCTTTAATTATATTCTAAAAATTTTCACATTAGCCATCCCAAGGATCTCAAGGTCTGTATTATATATAGAAGAATACGTGTGATCTGAAATAACTGCCGACAGTTTCATTATGCATGTGCTGCTTTAATGCAGGTGCTGACGTGGCTGTGGTTGGTGGCTTGAAGCTTCTGGCTAGACTGTCCCTCCTCACAGAGCAAGACTTGTGGACCGTCAACGGGCTTCCGAATGAAAACAACTCTTCCGACCACCTACCTTTATTGGCTAAGTTCAGACTTGAGCTCTGACGCTTCTGTGATGACATACATACTTTTCAAAATGTTTTCTTTTTCAAAGAATAGGAAACTGTTTTTAAGAGTTTGCATGTTGCTTATTTTTGCGCTGTGGAGCCTCTGAAGAGGTATGTTAACCGGTTGAAACAGATCAGAAGAAGAAAGTTTACAACAGTTTTTTAATAATGAAAAAAATATTTTCCTGATGAGTGAGATCTAAATGTTCTTTATTGTAAAAGAATGTAAATATTTTTTATTCTTTATCTCAGTAAGATTGACAGTGATTTTTAAATATAGTTCATCTTCTTTAGTCCTCCTAGTAAGGAATTCTATTTCATATTTTGGCAAGCTTTTCAGTGAGTCCAAAGTATCTTTGAGTTGACTTCTTGCAAAGCACACCTCCTTCCCCCCATGGAAGCCTGACTTCATTGGGAGAACCATGTTTGTTGACCCCTAGTTAATTCATCCCCAAAATCATTGTATCATTTGTAAGTGTCCAGCCAGCCATTGTAGTATGTTTTTGAGAGGGCTTGATACGGTACACACTACTGCTCTACCCATGTTGTTATCTTGAGCCAAGTGATACGCCTGTATTAGGGAGATGCGGGTCACTCAAGTAGGCCAAGGCCTTACCCAGTCCCGCTCTTCCATCCGCATAGGATGCTCAGAGAGGCAGAGACCAGGCTGGTGCCTATATTTCCCTAGCAACTCTTTTTGTTGGTTCAAGAAAAGACTCTTGGACTGAGAAAGAGGTATTATTTTATGGAACCTTTGCTATAGAAATTTATTAGGAAACTTGTCTTTGGGACAAGTGGCAGCTATAAGATTATTTTTGTTTCACCTCTGAAGTTTGAGGAAGCCAGCAAAACTCTAGTGGGAAGATACCAACTTGGAGAGCAAGTTAACACTTAATAGTAACGTTAACAGTTTTACTGGTTTTGGTTCTAATATGCTGTCCTTTATTATGATACAACAGTGTGAGATAGTGGTGATGTTTTTTGTGAAGTGGTTAAGAGCAGGTCTAATAAATCTTGGAGTTGGGCTCCAAATAAGTGTTTGAGTCAAAAAATTTAAAGCATAAAAAATCAAGGTTTCCTCCTTTTAAACATTGGAATCAAAGAATTATGTGTGTTTTTACTAGTAGTAATTTTATATTGAAGTGTAGGCAATTATGCAACTTTGTACGTGAGTTTTCTTAATGAAATGTTCCATCTTAAATTAGAAAGGAATAATTACTTTATAGACTTAAGACTTTAAAAAATTTTGTACTGAAGAATTTACTGTGATTATTTTTTGGGAAAAAACAAAAACCGCATGGATATCCCCAAAAGATATGGGTTATAAGAATTCGACTAGTAAAAATTGTAGTACATGACTATTTTTAAATGTGCAGTTTACTTTTTCATTTTTATGTATAGTATTGACTCTGGTTCTAGAATTGTCTATATTTTATAGTAAGTTTTCAGAATCCTCATTGGCAGATGTAGTCATCAACAGATTATGACAGTATAATTTTTCCTGTTCAGTATGGGGTAAAGAAAAAATGAAAATTCATGAATTACAGCTTTGTTACATGAATTTGTCAGCAAATAACTATATATAGGTCATTGCTAACAAACTAACATCCCTGAAACCTCTGTGAAAGTTTAAAGTTTTGTATTTTGATTGATAGTATGATTTTAGGCCCCTTTCATGAGCTTCACTTTGAATTACTCCATAAACTTGCTTTGCACTTAGCTTACAGAATGCAGTGTCATTTTGTAGAGGCCAAAGGGTCCGTGTAACCTCCTCTGAGGTTTTTAAAACTCTGCTAGAAGTAATTACCCCCTTGTCTTTTTGTGTGTGTGGTTTTTTTTTGGGGGGGGGGGTGGTGTTAGAAGACTTGGTAACTCTGCCAGACCTTGTATTTACCTGCCAAAAGCAATTAAATCTGGTTAATTGCTGAAACCAATATCCCAGATTCTCAAGTGCTCTTCTATCCCAGTTTAAAATGAAAAGGGGTGAAGTTTTGGTCTTGCTGTACCTTCAATAGCGGGATAGTGTGCATGTTTGAAATCTTACCTTATTTTTGGAATTTACCAACTGTCTTATTTTAACTCTTCACTTTCCTAAAAAACTGAGAGACCCAGCGGGTTCAGGGTCATGGGGAAACATGACTTCAAGTCACTTGCAGTTTGTAAATCAGCTAATAAATGATATTTTTACATTTGTGCCTGGGGGGGTTCATGGTGAGTGTGCAAAGCTGTGTAAGCTGACCTGTCACCTCTCATGGACCATTCCTGACCCTTTCAGCCTTATGGAGTGATGGTGAAGCAGAAGTGGATGAAGTTGAGGCAAAATAGAGTGGTGTGCCCCAAGGCCTGAAAATTGTGGAAGATGGGAGTGAGCACGTGGTAGAGCAAGGATATAAAACAATCACACCATCTTACATTTTTGGAAGAAAACAGTCCTTAAGTTTCCAGGATGGTTTTATTAAAGCCCCATGCTGTGTATGAACACATAAGTGGTGAGGAAAATATTTCCCCGAAGCATGCACTTACCTGGCATTCTCTAAAATACCATCGTACAAGTTTTCGTTTACTTAGAAAAATACCCACTAAAACAATCACAGTTTTTTTTAAAGATTTAAAAAAAAATGTATTGGCCAGAACAAAGTCCAAGAGAATAAACAAGATTCAGAATTGTATGTCAAAAAAACTGTACAAGGTTGTACATAAAAACTATAGCTTACAAAAGCCTCAGGTATAATAAGAATACGGAATTGAGATCTTCAAAGTTCTAGTTACCAATATCTAGTAATAAAACCCTTATGAAATAATTGACTTAGAAAAAGTGAAATGCTCATGATTTCAGTGTCTACAAAATACTAAATATCACTTTCTGAAATAAAGTGTACTCAAAACAGTGCGACATGCAATCAGAAATTAACATTTCTGTCATTCATTTAAACTTTGCATATATTGCCCATGATGGCTTAAGCATAAAATTTCTTTTTCATTATCTTTAAAAACTACTTATCAAGGGATTTCATAGTTTTATTCCATATCTTCTGATTGATAGCCAATTTTCAAATCAATTTGCAGGGAGGTAAATCATGTCATGGGTTTGGCTTTTTTTGTTTTGTTTTCTTCATTTTGCCTTAATGTTTTAACTTAAACCACTGCACTAGAATTTAGGAGTCTGGTGCCTTTCCAGTATCTTTTAGATACTAGAACATATCCTTAGAAAGGAACATATTCCATAGACATGAAAGACAGAATGATAACTAAGAATGTTTTAAATGAATTTTCATGTTTCTGTGATTAACTCTTACTTTGGCAACACAAGTCTTAAAAATCAAGAAGTGATGGAGTTAGATCACTAAATGAACCATCAAGCCAGTTGGCGGTTTAAGGCTTATATATCAGCATATTGGAAACAGGTTGTATTTCTGTTCTTAACCTCCTCCCCCCATTTTTTTTGTGAGAAACAAGGGCTCTGCAGCTGCTAGCATTTTGACATGGGGCGGTACCACTGTGGAAAGTCCAATTCCAAACTCTTAGAGTGACTGCGGTGCTGTAAGTGTGTAGTTACCAAATAGAGTTAAAAGTCCAGACTGAGAAGCAAGATGGCCTGGGACTCTACAGAAGGAGCTAAGTCAGTGTGGTTTCAGCATAAGAAAGAAATGTGCTCCTGACCCCTCCGCACATCTGGGAAGTGTGGCCATGAGGCTGCAAGTGGGTCTGCTTTGCAGAGCTGATAGAGCTGACTCATTTTAAACTCTGATAATGCCATTCTTGAAGAAAGCAATTAAGCCCAGAGTTTTTAACTTACCCAGGATTTTAATCTAAGATGTGCGCGTACTAGATCCTGCTCACGCAAAGGACATTATACTTCCTTTTTCAAGAAAAGTGTATTCTCCATTAATAACACTGATTTGTGGGTAAAGTGAGTTCATGTGCACCTGGCTGAAGGATGAAGTCCTTTGCTTTCCGTGTCACCCTCAGAGATTTGTTTGATGGTAAAGAATCTCACAGATTCTTCTATTTTTATTCCTGCCTAAAATCACCTGCAGTCAAAGCGAGCCAGGAAGCACTGGGGCTGCAGTGACACTTGCTGGCCCCCAGCCCTCCCCAAGATGCCTCTCGGTCTCGGGCCTGGCTGTTGCTAAGGTAGAACAAAAGAGAACTAGAAGCTGTGCTGTCGATTCTGTTCACACACGGAAAAGGGGCGTGGTTCGTGGTGGTCATCCTGTGTGGTCCGCAGCCAGGCGCCCCACGTAACCACCACATGCCCAGGCTTTGCTTTTGCACTTCACAACAAATCACACACCTATAGACTTTTTCCATTAAAAAAAAAATCTGCTACTCTAGTTCATCTCATCTCCCAGTACAAGTTCCTAAGTGGTACCAAAAAGCAGGCTAGTGAAGAACTGTCCCCTCGGCCACATCTGGTCTTAATATAAGACATCAGAACCCGTGGCCCGCAACAGTGAGCCCTCCCAGGCCTGCCCAGCTCAGCCTAGCAAGCAGCCAAGTTGTGGACAGAAGGATGCCCCAGTTCTCAAGACCCACCCACACCCCTAGCCCACCTGAGGATGTCCTCACCAGGCACCAGCCACGCCACCCCTCGTGGGACAGCATGGCCTCTTGTGCTTTTCGCTGCAAAGTTTAAATGGCAGTAACAGAACACGAACTAGCTTCGGAGAGTGCTTGTTTTGCTTTGAAAGAACAGACACTGCTGTAAGAAAGATTAATTGACTCTAAGACCCTGAAAACAGCTTCCCGTATTGCCAGAAGAATTTCAGTGCTTTTGAGTAAAACACTTGCATATAATACTTTAAATGTCATCACAGGTGCACCAGGAAAAAATTCCAAACTTTATGAAGATCCCCATGGGAAATAATGGGGAAACAATACAAATAGAATATAAAAAAAAAAAAAAATTAAGCTTGCATATCTGATGTCAAGATGCTGAGGTAATATTGACTGCTTTAAAAAAAACCCACCAACCCTTGCCTCTGTTATTGCTGAAAAAGACATTAATGCTGAGTTGCCTTATCTGTCCAAAGTGGGAGGGAGGACGTGGTGAACACTACTGGTGAGGCAGAATGTTCAAAGAAAGCGAAAGTAAGTAGGTCGGTGGAAAAGAAGGAAAGTTCGGTTATCATGTCCTTAGTCGGCATGAGGGGACGGTCCAGCCCCAGGGGGTGGCGATGAGTCTTTACACAGTGGCCTCCAAGCTCATTGGTACCACCCACTGAGATTCTATTTCCAAGTGAATCCTGAAAAGTAAAATTCACAAGTTCGCAGTGAATGGTTACAAGTCCTTTCCAAAGATGCTGAGTAAAGTGCAGAGAGCAGCACCATAGACGTCCTCTTGCAGGCTGGGACGGCCGCCTAGATTCGGATCTGGTAGCCCACTTCGTTCAGGGTGCTGAGGTCAGCCACCTTCTTCTCAGGCAGAGCGGGCCTAACAGACAGAAGGTGGTGAGGACAAGGGACAGGAGGGCGAAAGCTCACTGTGGACTTCCAGGGCCTTTGAGTTTTCCTAACACCTCAATATATGCCCCCCACCCCCCCGCCTTGCCTCCCCACACTGTGTCATCTTAGACCCACCATCACAGGTTTTTAGGAACATTTTATTTTTTTTTTTTTTTTTTTTTAATAGAGGCATGCTTTATTTATTTGTTTGCTGGTTTGTTTGTACATGCACTGGGTACAGTCAGAAGCGCGGGAGGGTGAGAGAATTCACCAGAGCCAGAGCAGGGAGCAGAGCAGGCAGAAGGACCGAAGTACACTGCTGAGGGGAGCAGCGGGCGGCAGGAGAGGTCTGCGCGCCATGTGGGACCCTCCTCCGGTGGCCGGGGAGCAGCCGGGGATCGAACCGGCGCCGCAGAGGCCGCGCGCAGCCTCGCAACCCAGCACTCAACCGCTGCGCCACCGGGGAGGCCCTTTAGGAACATTTTAACAGGCCCTCAATGTAGAGTTCAAAGGGATTCCTGGACACTGGTCTCTGAAGCCCGTGAGGAGGGTCAGAGGTCACACAGTTCATGGCTCAGTAGGACCGAGAACCCGAGCCAGCTCTCCTGGAGACCTGACTTCCTAGTGCTGGGGCCCTGGGGGCCTGAAGTGACTCCTGCTAGCTGTGACGGGGTTAACACAGACTCGAATGTATGAAACCAAGGGAAATCTTCTAGAATTCACCTGAAAAGCTATGTCAATGTCGGAAATCGTTCAATGACAAATAGTCTGCTTCCTAAATACATCTTCTAAAGTACTTTCTATCCTAAAACTACAGCTAAGCCTTCTGTAAAGTCAGAAGGCACTGCAAGCTGGGCAGAGCGTCAGCATGTCATCTGCCTTCATTCGAGACGTTTCCTAAGTGACTTCCCAGTGACAACTCTGCCTTAGCATCCTCAAGATTTACCTGACAGCTTTTCCATTGTTCAGTGAAACTCTTCTCCCCATTTTTGATAAGAGATAAAACCAAGGCTGTAAACCAAGTTTGAGGTGTTCCATATGTCAAGTGAGGAGTTCTGGTTTGAAAGCTGCACATTTGGCTATTTTTATAAGATCAAAGACATTTCAGGTTACACATGAATCTGTCAAAGTGTTCTTAAAAAAAAAAAGCCAAAACAAAAATATAATTGTTTAAGAGTATTTTGGTTTAAACCTTTGAATGATTTCCTAATAGCAAATGGTTTCCCCTGGTGTGAATGTCAATGGAACCAGAAGTGGCCTCTACCGAGGATGTCGTCAGTGAGGACAAGACTCCAGCAACAAACTCGTCCTACACATTCTCATGGTCCCCCCTCAACCACTGGGCCAGTTGTCAACCACCTGTGCCCGTCTGCTCTGAGACCTCGTCTGAAGATCCAGCAGTTCCTGGTGTAGAAAGAGAGTTCTTCCTGGCCTTGCCGCACTCCCCAATCATCCGCCCCATTTCGGAACCTTCCCCACACATCTTCCTGGCCTGACACCTTTCCCTTGAGTCTCCTCTGCCCTTCTGAGCCTTGAACATGCTGACTTTCTGTAGGACATCAGGCCAGTAAGACACTAGTCCAGCGCTGCTGTCACGGACCTCTTTTCTCTCCCTCAGTCCTGTGACCTACGTCAGAGACACAAGGCCCCAGGCAGGTCACGGAGACCACAACCCCACCTCTCAGCCCTGCCAGGTGGGCACCTCTGGGGTCCCTGCACAAGCAGCCACAGGCCTGCCACTGCCTCAGAAGACATTTTGATCACTGGCTGGGGCCCCTTAGCACCCCATTTCTCTTTGTGTCTAAAACTTCACCCTTTGCCCTCATTCTGGCACTCTCGAAAGCTCACTAATTTGGGGGTATTAGCCTGCTTTTTCTAACCCTTTCCTTAGCACCTTGTCACATCCCCCACACCTCCCAGGGGCTGAGAAATCACCATTATAAATAGCTTCTGCTTATCCTGCACCTGCATGAGCGAGCTTCCATGGGCTGCTGCATCATGGCCATAACCTCACGGCTCATCACTGCTACCCAGCTTTATGGAGAAAATGGATCACTGCAAATTAGGAGCCAGCTCAAAGCAAAGTAGCTTGGTCAGCCATTGGTGGAGCCAGCATTCATCCCAGAATCTAGAATGGGATGGAAACTGCCCCCTACCTTCCCACTCCCCACACAAAGCATCTGAGGACACCAGGGCCATGCCTGCCTCTGCACCTGGACCACGCGATGCCCTTCCCTAGGTCTTCTCGTCTTCCCTGCGAGGTCCAGCCCAAATGCCACTTCTCCCATGAAGCGTTTTCTGACTCCTCTCACAGGGCCAAGCACCTACTTGGCATTGCCTTTGTATGTTCTGCTAAAGAATCCTGCCAATTCATAGCCCTTGCACCTGCCTCAGAGAATGAACAAGTTGAGAGTAGGGACCAAGTACATTCACTGGTGAAGCCTCACTGTTGAATAACCCAAACCTCTTACTTCACTGTGGCCACGTTCTCACTAACATTTCAATGTCTGATAGGGCTTCATTATGTTACCTTTATCATGGGTAATTGTTAACATAGTCCTAAGCCAGGAATTCAAGTTAGCATGACAACATTCTAAGAGTTAGCATGTAGGAAGAATGCTGTTTGGTTTTTCTGTATAGGAGAGGTTTTATCTTACCTCTGACAGCCACTTGGGGAACCGGCCTGCTTGTAAAGCTGAATGTAATTCTGCACCAGTAAATAACTCAGGGCCTCCAACAGACCTGGGTGGTCTGCCTCTGTATCCTCACCTGGCCCTGCCTCCCCAGGTACCCAGGACCCAGGGGAGACAAAGGCAGAAAGGCGTTAAATAGCGATTCCTGGTGAACTTCTGGAAGGTGAACCACTTTCACCTCAACGGTGGCCACAATGTCCTGGCCTGGCAAAGGGCAGAAGTGGGTTATCCCAGCAGGCCACTCTGGCTGTGGGGCCCGGCCAGAAATACCATTTAGTCCTTTCCAGCTCATCCCCAGGCCAGGGCCAGCTCAGCTATTGTGTGTGAGAGGCCTCTTCAAGTGCTCCCCTGCCTATAATTAGAACATTGCGAGGGGGTTATTTTTAAGAAACCACCACCAGAGTGATGATTCAGCTGGGTCTGCACTTGCCCAGAACCACTCATCAGATCCAGGGGTATTATTTTAGACTGAACAATACATGTCTCCAAGCCCCTCCCCAGTCCAAAAAGAAAAGAGAATCAAAGGATTTTCCTTGTGAAAGACTCAGGCTGGTAACGGCTTTAAGTTTCCTTTGACTCACTCGGTGGCAGGAAGGAGGGGACGTGTCTCTCAGCACATAAATGGATAATCCTGGCCTTATCTGCTGTCACTTAAAGGCCGGGTGAGCTAGGGTGAGCGCTGACGGCCTAGCCCCAAGCCCGGCACAGAGACTGCCTTCCAGGAGTCCACGCTGAGAGGCTGCCAGAGAGAGCCTCATGCAAGCCATCCTGCCCCTTGCGCCCACCTTCCTTCCCGGGCTCCAGGCACGGAGACCGACAGCTGACAAGGCAGACATCAACATTTAACATCAACGGGCCATGGGGGAAAGAGATTAGCTCCTTGAGAATCTCCAGCTCTTTGCCCTTCCCTTCAGGTCGTCCCCAGCGGAGGGAAGGGAGAACATGGTGGCAGCGCCACAAAGAAGGTATTCTGCAGAAAGCACTGCTAGCGCTTGCACGGCTACCCAAACCTTGTACCGTTCAGGGAGTGTAAGCCGTCCCCTTGCGTACCAGGTGGCAAGTGATTCTTCATACACCCTGAGACACTGAATTTCTCATGCCCTCAGGAACATGAGTGTCTCAGGCCTGAGGCAGCCCCAGTGGTGAGGAAGAGCTCAGCTGGGTTAAACGTTGTCAATAAAGCCACAGAAGCTTCAGAATCAGAAAGCGATGACCGTATGTTGGGAGCTGAAGTGGGATGCAAGTCTTAGGGTTACCAAGACAAATGGCAGTTCCTGCTCTCTGTGGGGGCAAAATCTATTCCTTTCCTCTAACAGGAAGGGATGTCCTGGTGAGATGCTTCAGGGACACAGCCCCTCTGTGTCCAGTTTGGGGTTGCTGGTGGGGATGCACAGGCCACCAGCGGACACATGCTTCTGGCTCCTGGTGCACTTGAAGTCACAACCCCCACTTGAGCAGAGGAAGAACTCGCCGGTGTTCCCCTGCACTCACCCTCACAGCCACACAAACATGCCCACCAGGTCCAGCTTAGCTCTCAGGATTCTAGAAAGGGACACAGAGCCAGTAAGGGTGCAGCTAACAGCAGCCTCAGATGTGGAGAGTGTGGAGCAGGGCTGGGCAGGGCTGGGCAGGGCTTGGCAGGGCTGGTGTTGGCCAAGCATTTCCCAGTTTAAGCCTCCTCTGGCAGGAATCAGGTCAGGCCCAGATTTAGGACGGGTGGCCCATTTGGGTCAGCCTCAGCTGGAGGAACACTGGGGTGGGGGATGGTTCCTCCATACCTGTCACCTCATTCAAGGCCTATCCTGCTCCCCCTCACACTTCCGTTCCCAGACTTCAGGCGCCGAGGCTGGCAGCAGGCACGGCAGACAGCTGATGTTCTAGGTCATGGGACAAGCCTAGCCCAGAGAGGTTCGGCCCTCAAGATTCCCCAGTCCTGGGCCTCCCCGGTGGTGCAGTGGTTGAGCGCTGGGTTGGTTGAGCGCTGGGTTGCGAAGCTGCCCGCAGCCTCTGCAGCGCTGGTTCAATCCCCGGCCACTGGCGAGGGTCCCACGTGGCGTGCAGACCTCTCCTGCCGCCCGCTGCTTCCCTCAGCAGTGTACTTCGTCAGTCTGCCTGTTCTGTTCCCCGCTCTGGCTCTGGTGAATTCTCTCACCCTCCTGCGCTTTTGACTGTACCCAGTGCTTGTACAAATAAATAAATAAATCTTTAAAAAAAAAAGAAAAAAGAAAAGATTCCCCAGTCCTTTCCCCGGGGCCTCTGATCTGACACGAAGAGCCACTGGTCACTCTTTGAGATTCCAGGGCACAGCTTCCAGGCCTGGTCTCACCCCTCCTTCCTGTGACGACCCTAGGAGCTGGTCCTGTCTGAGAGTCCCCAACAGTCAGCCCTGGGGGCTCCTGGATCCGCTGCCTGAGGCCATCTCTTCTGATAAGGTCCATTACTCCACCTGGGGTTCTCCAAGCACCCCACGGAGACAGTGTCCATATGAAATCCTAAGGGGAACAGAGCCAGGAGTCCCCTGAGTTGGAAACTACCTTTTCTGGGCTTCTGGGAAGAAACTTCAAATCACCTTGGGGGTTTTGCTTTTTCTTTCATTGTTCTCTCTCTCTCTCTCTCTCTCTCTCTCTCTCTCTCTCTCTCTCTCTCTCTCTCTCTCTCTCTCTCTCTCTCTCCCCTTCCCTCCCTCTCTTTCTCCTCCCTGTATCTTCCATGCTAAGGAAATGTTCGCCACACTTGCGGATGTTTTTTCATTTCATATCTAAAGAGAATGACTCCTTAGTCCACATTCAAAGCATCTTCAATGTGACGAGGCCACTCTGTGACCTCATAGACTCAGCTTGGGCCTCATGCAGCCTGAAGCATCCTCAGGAAGGACAAGAATTCCGTTTCCGGTTCTTGCCCAGCCATGAGAGGAATTCTTAACCCGCAAAGGTGGGGCTTAGCAACCTATGGAACGTGAGCGTCCCCAGCAAGGAGAGCAGTGCCCAGTAGAGCCAGGAACTGACAGAGTCAGAAGACAAAGAAGAGAATCCAAGGAGGGAAAATGCTGAAAAGCAGAGGCGGGGACAGGAGACCCCTGAGGAGGGGCTCTCGGGACTCTTGCCTCAGCTTAGAAGAATGTCCACGTCCCCACACAAGGGCACGAGCGGCTCCCACGCCAGCACAGCAGCCCAGCCAGGAGCCGTGTCCACTCATCCCGCTCCCCAGGGTCAGGTCATGGGCAGCTAGCCCAGAGCCTGGACTGCAGATGGAAAGGCCCCAGAGCCATACACAGTTTGCAGTGGGGACAACGGGGGGGATGGTTTTCACTAGGGATGACAGCTCTGAGCTTTGTCCGGAGCTTGCCGCCCAGGCCCCGCCCCTCATGGGGAGCATCCTTCGCAATGTGATGGGACCCCATTGCATTTCTAACCCTTCCCCCCAGGGCAGTCCTGGCCGCTGGGGAGGAGCCACAAAGGGACAGTCCCAGAACTCTGAGGGTCTGGTCACCCTGGACTTCAGCCTCCATCCCCAGTCTCTCAGGAGCTTCAGGAAACCACTTGGCTGAGAGCTCCTCCCCTCTGGACACTGTCCTGAATGGCTGACGCTGGTGCAGACATGGCTGCGTGCCCTCCCACTCAGCTGACTCTGTCGTCACCCAGTGACAGCAATCCCCCTTTCTGGAAAGATTACTCAGACAAGTGTAAAAGTGGCGAGGAATGTGGCTGGAAGGCGCTCCAGCTGCGGGAGGGGGAGGAGGAACAACAGTCACTAAGATTATCCAAAAGGCCCTGAGGGATGAACTTCCATTGTGGGGCCAATCCAGCTTCGTTCGGCATGTCACCCGGCATGTTTAGAGATGACCCAACGGCCTTCAGTCATGCAGAGAGAATACCACAGGCGCAGAGTCCCCGTGCACCTCCTAGTCCAACTGTCCCACAGTCTCGAGTTTGATGGGCTGCCTTACCCCAAGCAAAACTCCCCGGGGGACCTCCCTGCCAAGGCGATGGGGGCTGGAGGCTGCTCGTCCACAGACCCACCCTCAGAGGCCACAGGCACCAGTCTCTTGAGGTCCAACCACCCCAGGCCGCCTGGTGCAGCTGCGAAAAAGCCCCCAGCCCCAACCCATCAGGAGGACTTCACGAAGGAAGCCTCCGGGATTTGCGTTCTGCCGGGAGAAGGACGAGGGGGCAGGCACGGACTCGGGGGCCGAGTGGGCTACAGCCAGGCTTCATCATTTTCGAAAAATCTGTTCACACTGGACATGAGCCATGGCCTCTGTGCTCTTCCCAAGCCTCCCTGTTGGGGGTGACAGGGTGGCAATGAGGCCCTCAAGTGACCAAACTAGCCTCTTGCATGTCCTGAGTTGACCACACAACAGCACAAGCCCCCAGTGACACAGGCAGGGGTAGCACCTCTTCCTCTTGACGGAGGAGGGAACTGAAGCCTTGCCCAGGCCCTACCCAGGCCACAGGGCTCACAGGCAGCAGAGCCAGGCCCAGCCTGGAAGTCTGGCCCCACACCGCCAGGTCCCACAGCGAGCACCACGTCACACAGCACGCTGCTGTCACGAGCAAGGGTGATTTCCCAGCCTGATCACAGCCCAGATGGCCCCTGCAAACCCTCACTGGTAACAGGAGCACCTTCCCGCAGCACCTCCAACCTGTTTCTTCTGAAGTGGTTCCTTGGACCTCAGACACCGGGGGACTTGCCAGCCCCGGCTGCAGCAGGGGAGGGCTCGGCCAGCCAGGCAAGGGCAAGGGCACAGCCAGCAGTGCCTGTGGCACTGCTGAAGACACACAAGAGCAGGCACCGCACTTCTGCTGGGCACACAGGCCACGGGCTGAGGGAGCACCCCACCCCGGGCGAGAGTACACAGATGGCAGGCAAGTGCCACCCACAAGTCCCCGCATTCTCAGCCCCTGCTCCTTCCTGCCTACATTTGGGGCCTCCCTCCACCTGTGTCTATGCTGGCAGCAGGAAGAGCGATGGTGGACCTCAGGGGCCCTCTCCCTGGGTGCTGTCCCCTGACTAAGGAGGTCTCTGTATCACTCGTTCTGGGGCCCAGCCTCGTCTACCCCCAAAGCCCAGGACAACCCCAAAGGTATGTGACTCACGACTTGTCTCGCCTGCCGAGCCGTCTCGGGGGGCTGGCCTGTCTCCTTCGGGGGGACAGGGATTTCCCCCGGCTTCTTACTTGAGTTGGAGAGTGGGCACTTGCAGGTTTCAGGATCTGGAGGAGACACGAGGAGTCACCACACTGGTGCCCCATGGGCCACGCTCTGGTGTCTTCACAGCACGGCCCCGGCCCAGCCCAGCCTCCTCACGAGGCTCCAGTCAGCCGGCCTGGCAAAGGTTCTGGGCTCCTCTCCCCTCCTGCACAGCAAGAAGCAAGAGGCTTTCCCCCACCCCCTCATCACCACCCAGCACCCACCTTCATCCTCATGTCCCTGGCGTATTTCTCCAGCTCCTTCCTGATGTCAGCCCTCAGCATCTTAGAGACATTGAGGACCAGCTGCTTCCACTCGATGGGCTGGAAGCTGTGCGGCTCGTGGGGCACGTACAGCCCGATCTTGACCTTCTTGACCGAGTGCAGGTACTTCTTGTAGGAGTCCTCGAAGTCAAAGATGAGGTCACTCAGAGTCCGAAAGGTCAGCGGCTTGTCCATCAGCTCAGCCCTCCGGCTCATGCCCAGCGAGCCATAGCGGCCGTTGCAGTAAATCCCCAGCACAACGTGATGAAAGTAGTTTCCTGAGAAGTAGGTTTTAAAGCTGATGGGGAATCGCTCAACAGAAGGCTGTCCATTGGTTAAATATCTTAGACAATCGGGGTCAAGGAAGAGTAAGAGGCCTGGACATTGGAGCATGGACCCCGGCCCAGGATCCAGAGCCCACCTCTGAGCAGGGCCCTGGCTCCCTTTCCAGATGAGCCCTCTTACGGGGGACTCACTAGCTATCACTGAGTATTTTCTTTTAAAGTTTCATTTATTTACGCATACAAGAACTGGGGTACAGGGGCCTACCTGGTGGCACAAGGGGTTAAGACACAATCTATGAAGCTGTCTGCAGCCACTGCAGCACAAGTTCGATCCCCCAGCCAGCCAGGGAGCTACCCACATGGCACAGCAGATCTTTCCTGACTCGCCCACTGCTCCCCTCAGCAGTGTATTTCAGTCAATCTGCCTGTTCTGTTCCCCACTCTGTCTCTGGTGAATTCTCTTACCAACCCCTCCCCCCCACCTATGGCCTGTACCCCAGCTCTTGCATGCATAAATAAATAAATCTTTAAAAAAAAAAAGAACTAGGGTACAGGCCAGAGGTGGAGGGGGTGAGAGGATTCACCAGAGACAGAGTGGGGAGCAGAACAGGTGGATCCACTGAAATCCACTGCTGAGGGGAGCAGCAGGGAGACAGGAAAGGTCTGCTGTGGGTCAGCTCCCTGGCCGGGGATCAAATTCATGCTGCAGTGGCTACCGAGAGCTTCATAGTGCTGACACTTAACCCCTTGCACCATGAGGGAGGCCCAAACCAAGTATTTTCTTCATGGTGTGTACCAGAACTGAATCAAATAGGACAGAGGAGAAAACTTAGCCGCTTTTTTAGTAACTAACTAGATGAGGGAAGGAAAGAGCACAAAGGGCACCTGGCCCCTTGGTTCCCACCAGGGCGACGAGTTATTACGGTTTTCATGCAGTCAGAACAACGTTGCAGAGGTGAGTTCTGGCTGCAGAGAGAGGAACTGGAGGTCTCTGCAGATGTCCCATAAAGACAAGAAAGGCAGAGGAAGACCAGGCAGTGGAGATGCAAGGGACAGACTGGACAGCAGGGTAGAGAACAGCACAGGCAGGTCCTGTCTGCTCCTCATCTGCCCCGCCCCTTGTTAACCTGGCATGTCCAGCTGTCTTGGTCCCCATCCAGAAAGATGCTTGCAGCACCTGAACCCCAAGTTCCCCTCGGTCCCCAATCCAGTGGACATAACACTTGGCTATTTCCACAGACTGTCCCATTTGGACTGAATGACCAGCCTCTCACCATTGCCCCAGTTTGGGCCCAGCAACCTCACAGGGCATAGCATCAGAGAGCAAACCACTGAACCCACCAGCTGGAGGAGGAACAAGAGGCCATGCCCCCAGCCCTTCTCAAAGACCCAGAACAGCCCTGATGAGGCCATGATGACCCCTGGATTCCACTTTTCTGAAAAAGTACTTTGGAGACTCCCCACATCTCTCCTCTGCTGAAGACCTTCAGGGGCTTCAGGGTGTTTGAAAGGTGAGTGATCACCCAGGAGCCTAAGATGGCTGCTTGTGGGCAGTGATCTGTGATGGGTGCAGCTCTCCACTCTCTGGGGCTCCATCTTCCCCACTTCTTGTTTCCACTCCAATTTACATTCCCTGCAGAATGATCAACTTAAGCCAAGTTTGGTACATGTCACTCTTCTGCTAAAGTTTTCAGTCTCGGGCCTCCCTAGTGGCACAGGGGATTAAACTCTCAGTGCTATCAAGCTGTCACAAGCCATAGCGGCCTGAGTCCTATCTTTGACCAAGGAGCTACCCACATGGTGCAGCAGACCTCTCCTGCCTCTCCACTGCTCCCCTCAGCAGCGTATTTCAGGATACACCTGTTCTGCTCCCCACCTTGTCTCTGGTGAATCCTTACTCCCTGCACACCTGGTCTGCACCCCAGCTCTTGCATGCATAAATAAGTTTTTTAAAATAATCTTAAAATAAATAAAAAAGGTTTGCAGTCTTCCTCCTTCTCTGGGACTTGTTTCAAATCCCCTAGCAAAAGCCCACCACGATGGGGTGCTGCTCCTCTTCTTTGCAGAGTCTCAACCCTCTGTTCTGGACGGACAAACCCTAATGTCATAACCATCTGTGCTCACTGTCCTTGGCGCTTGTTCCCTGCCCCCCAAGTACCAAGTCAGACATTAACTGAAAATTTAAATGACTTTTCCATCCCAAAGCTATGAGGCCAAACTGATCTGTGAAATGTTTAAAAACGCGCTACTACATACTACACCACAATATGTCCCCATCGTGGTGTAAGTTTGTGAGAACTTCAGTGACAGCAACATCAAGTAGGGGGGTTCAAGCCTTGCAGAGATCTTTGGGACCTCATAAGAATCACAATAAGGGATGCTACGGGGGCCTCCCTGGTGGCACAAGGGGTTAGTCTCGACACTATGATGCTATTGGCAGCCACTGAAGCACAAGTTCGCTCCCCGACCAGGGAGGTAACCCACAGGGCACGGCAGACCTCTCCTCTCTCCCTGCTGCTCCCCTCAGCAGTGTATTTCAGTAGATCTACCTGTTCTGCCCCCCACTCTATCTATGGTGAATCCTCTCACTCCCCACACCTCTGGCCTACTCCCCAGCTCTTGTATGCATAAATAAATAAAATAAATCTTTAAAAAAAAAATGGGTTCACGCTTTCGGCAGAAGCTGCACCTGCCTGGACAGCCTCACGACTACCCACTCTCTCCTCCTCCCTGGGTGCGAAGCCTTCCCAAACCTTCTCTGCCTGGCTGGACATCCTCCCTGCCTGCCTACCTGCCTGCCTTAGGCCCTCCATGGCAGCTAGTGCTCGTCTGTGCCCTGTGAGGCAGGGAGGGCTCTGACTCCTGAGCCTGGACGTAGCACATGCTTTTCACCTGGACGCACTTGGTTAACACTTGGTTAACGCACTTGCTGACAGAAGGGACCTGATTGTAAGGAGACACATCCCAAGACGTAAAAGGACTGTACCCAGTGGGGGGTTGATCCAGGCACCCCTGAGAGAAAGAAGCTGACAGAAGCCAGCCATAGCCCTGAGGGCGGCTGTGTCCTCTGCCTTTGGTCAGTCTCAGATGCTCCTGTGAAAATGGCTGCTTCTGCTGCATGTCACCAGGTGAGACAACCACAAGCAAGGGAGTGAAGTCACAGCCTCTGATTCCTTTCCATAAAGGCTGACTTGCTTTCTGGGGTGAGTTGTCTGGGGCTGGAATGAGGCTTGCTGAGGCGCTGATTCAGTGTTACAGACACTTACTGAATGAGGCCTCCAGCGCCAGACAGCCTGCAGGTAGGGCTGGGGAATGAGAGGAAGGCCTCAGCCCTTCCCTGGAGGCCTGGTTGGGGCAGACTCAACACGATCAGAATGAGATTTCTCAAAAAAAAGTAAACATAGAATTTATACATGATCCAACAATTCTACTTCTGGGTACATACCAAGAATTAAAAACTGGGAGTCAAAACAAATACTTGTGTGCCACGTTCACGGTAGCACAGCTTGCAACAGCCCAAAGGTAGAAACAATCCAAGTATCTGAGGACAGCTGAATAAGAAAATGTGATAGCCAGTCATGTGTCGCTTAATTATGGGAATACTTCCTGAGAAATGGGTAGGTAATTTGTCACTGTGTGAACATCAGAGAGTAGACTTACATGATCCTCAATGTGGTAGCCTACTGCATACCTAGGTTGTACAAGGGACCACTGTTGTGTATGCACCATGGACCAAAATGTTGCTAAGCAACATCTGACTTGTGGAATATTGCTTGGCCCTAAAAAGGGAAGGAGCTTCTGGTACAGGTTACAACATGGGTGAATCTTGAGGACACCATGCCAAGTGAGATGAGCCAGGCATGAAAGATCAAATACTGTATCATTCCAGTTAATGAGGTACCTACATTAGGTTACTGTATTTGATTGTGAATCAAATTCACAGAGACAAAAGTGGAATAGTGGGTGCCAGGGTTTTGAGGGGTTGGTATTGCCCTGGATAGGGTGTTTCAGGTAGCGAAGATGATTCTGGAGTCAGATGGTGGTGATGGCTACCCAACTATGTGAACATTCTCAGTGCCGCTGAGCCAAATACTTTCAAAATGCAAAAATTGTAAATTTATGGAATGACTGGTTTTCCACAATTAAACCCCAAGCTGACATGTGCTGCGAGGGAGGCAAGCCTGCACTCTCGGCTTATCCCAAGTCACCACCTGCAGGACTGGCACCCTTGAGTAGGCCAGTATCATCTTAAAGCATTGGACACAGATGGGAGGGGGCGAAGAGTTGTGGACGTGGGTGAGGAGGGGCCTGGGCTGCTGAGCACAGAGGGGCAGCGGGTCCCGGGCTCTGGAAGATCCAGTCTGCTGGGGATATGGCTCACCTGGCTCAGAAAACTGTCACTGGAATAACTCACCGTCCTCAGCTCCCAGTGGAGTCAGAAGAGCCCAGAGAAGCTGCCAGGATGGAGCATCTCTCTGCTTTAAGTACACGCACCCAAGCAAGAAGCCAAGAGGAGACTCTTCTTGCATGAACCCCGACCTCTAGGCTAAGACTAAATATAAGAAAACAAGATGGGACAGGCCAGTGGACACAGGCTCCCAAGCTGAAGCCTGATCGGCTGGGTTCAACATCAAGGCAATGCTGATCCCCCAGAACCTTCAGGAGACACCCACTAACAACCCACATCAAGTCCTCCACTGGCCCAGAGGGAAGCAGGCCGCAGGGATGCTGCAAAGCAAAGCAGAGAGGAGCTGCACTTGCAGAATTCGGGGCTGGGCTACCTGTCTGTGTCCCAGCGTCAAGCTTCCCTGAATTGGGCACCGTGGGAGCACTTCTCCACCTGCCCCTACCCTGTGCTTTTCTGAAATGTCACCCCATAAGAGCCCACCATCCCGATGTAGACAGGCCCAAAGCAGGCAACAGGTACGGTCCCCACACTCCCCCACACTCCCACATTCCAGCTTGAGGTCATTCCAGAAGCCAAAAGGGATGCTGGATTTCAAAGATGTGCAGGGCGCCTCCCTGGTTGGTGGCCTAGGAGTTGAGTCTCAGTGCTAGCACATGACTGCCTGAGTTCGATCCCCTGCCAGGGAGCTGACTCCTATGGCGCAGCAGACCTCTCCTGTTTCCCCACTGTTCCCCTCAGTAGTGAATTTCAGTGGATCTGCCTGTTCTGCTCCCCACTCTGTCTCTGGTGGATCTTCTCACCACCACCCTGCCCCACACACACCTCTGGTCTACACTCCAGTTCTTCTACACAAAATAAAATAAAAATGAAAGATGTGCAGAAACAAAAGGACAGTGGACAGAAAGCTGGACTCTGTCCAGGCGGCTCACATCCCTGTAGGGGCTGCAGAGAGCTGTCCACCAGTGGACAGAGGACTCCATGTGGCCTCACTAATCACCAGCACATCCCCCCACCATGCCCCTCCCTCATCAAAGCTACAGGAAGCTCTGCCCAACAGCTATGGTGACGCCTGTCCTGAAATGAAAAGGGGGGCACCCCACCATCTGCTGCCCTCCTGCTGGGCTCCCAGGCACATGCTTCATCTCCTTTGTGGGGAACAAGGAGGACAAGAGGGTGGGGAGAGGCACAAGAAGGCTCGAGTTTCCATAGTTCCCATGTCAGCCGGGCACCGTGGCCAAGTTGTCCCAGATCTGGCCAGCCTGTCCCACAGGGAAGAGAGCCCCTTCCCATAAATACTGCCCAGACACAGACAAGCCCCGCCCACCCGTCCCAGCCTGTCTGAAGCAGCTTCCTCTGGTGACATTGGCTCTGCTTCTCTCCTGGAGTTCCCTGCCCCCTACTGCCCCTTTTTGGCCTCATTCACGGGCTCATTGGGACCCCAGACTAAAAAATAGGGGAATTTCATCCTGATCTTTGTCTCTTCTTACTCCTCCAACGGCAGACACCTCCCCAAATCACTCACAACTGTACCTCCAGGGCAGACTACCCTCCTGAGTGCACGCCCCAAACGCCCCATCAGACATCCTGCCTGGGTGCCCCCACATCAGCATGACCAAGTCTGATCTCAGCCCCATCAAGTCTGATCCTCCCTTGGCCTCAGGCGTCACTATGCAGGCACCCAAGTTTCCAAGCCAGAAATGTGGGTTCATTGCCTTTGACCATTCATGGTCCCCAAGTAGTGCTGATGCATCCAGCACCTCTCCTCCACCCGCATCTTACGGTCTTGCAAAGCATGTCCTGTCTCTGGCTCACACACACCCCCAGCCTGTGCCACACACACTGTCCCCCAATCCAGAGGCTCAGATGTGCTGCCTCCTTCCTCAGCGACACCTTCATCCACTTGACCTCAAGTCCTACAAATCCTTTCTCCCTGATGGCGCTTTGAAACAAGCCCCTCAACTCCATTCCCAGTCCTGGGGCCCCCTTGCGAACTTCACACCACGGTCCTCCCATAATAGCGTCCCACTAGCTCTGGAGATCGGCCCCCGCCCCTGCAGACAGACCCCCAAATCTGCTTCAGAGCAACCTGGCCAGGGTGCGCCCTGGACACCCCCGCCTCTGGGCTGCCCGGAGCATTCTAGGACAAGCTCTTGCTTCTCGAAACAGCACTCAAGTGTCTAATGGCCCCTAGCAGCAGGCCTTGCACGCTTCTGTCCTGCTGAGTCACTGGCCTCTGTTCCGTCCCGCCACGTGCCACATGGGGTGGGGGATCCCTGCTCTTCCATCAGAGTATGTCTGCCCCATCATCCCAGGCCACAGGCCCCCTGGCTGAGGAGCCAGGAAGTTGGTGGGAAGTGGAGCAGAGGTATGGAGAGTCCAGGCCCTTGCTCTGCTCTATGCTCCTGGGTCGGGGCGTTCCACACTGCTTGGTGTCCACAGTCCACTCCAGAATTCTCCCTGGCAATGGGTTTAGAGGATCCCACACCCTCTTGGGTGTCTTTCCTGCCACAATGCCAGGTGAATACAAGAAACGGTGACAACACCTCTCCCTCCAGTCCTCTCTAAGTCTGGCCTGAGTCTGAGACCTGTGTCCTGAGTCTGGCCGGGAGCTCACTCCCACGGAGGCGTCACTAACAGGTCTCACTGATGGTGGCACCAGGGGATGCTCCATTGGGTCACCTCAGGGGGCACCAGAGCAGCTTCAGTCTCCCCAAGGAGGCAGCAGCCATCCTCTGTGTGGGCCGGGGCATTCACAGGCCCCCCGCATCACATGGGCTGCCCTGGGAATGTGGAGAAATGTCTGGAAAGGATACATGCCCAGGATGACAGCCTCCAGGCATTTGATGGGCAAGGCCTCCCGGGTCATCTCTTTCGCGGTTTCCATCAACCTGCGGGACAGAGCACAGCAAGGGCCTCAGCACTCACAGCTGCTGGCTCCGCTCGGTCTGTCTGCATGTCCGTCATCAAGCTGGTCTCCACACTGGACGCCAGCAGGGGCAGGCAGGGAAAGGGGACACCTCACCCCGTGGTGGGAGCCTAGGCTGCCCACACCTGGCAGAACCAAAATCCTAAATCCTCCCCCAGCTCGTTCCTGGAGGTCAGTGCAGTGGCCACCGTGTCCTCGTGTGGCACAGGACATGGGGAGCCCGCCCCAGCCCCACCGCACCCCACCCAGACAGGCCACTTCAGCACTGGGACGTAGGCAGCATGGGCCAGGAGGCGGCGCTCGGGCAGCAGCAGTCAGCCCGCAGCCCTCGCACCACTTACCCGCTCAGCGGTCTCATTTTCCTAATTTCAAAGAACTGGGTCCCCGTGTGGTTATATCTGTGTGATGCACATAAAGGGAAAATAACACAAAACTCCAAAGGTCCCAGAAGCAGCAGAGGAAGGTGGGCAGGGATTTCTCGATGGGCGAGGAAGTGAGGGAGGCTTTCCAGATGTCCAGAAGCCCGAAGGTGGCCATTGCCCGACCCCTCGCTGCCCTGCCCCCGAAATCTCATTTCTGATTCAGGCTCCAAAGCACCTTGGCGATTAGAGCAGCTGTTTCCAAGCTGCCCTGTGCCGGCTGGCGGCAAGCCCGTCTGGTTGTCTCTAGACTGCACCTCTTTGAGGGGTGGGGCCATTTCTCTATCATCTCATCACCCCTAAGCCTGGACAAGCCCCTCACATTCCAGCTAGCAAACAGGACACAAATGAGAAAGAAGTGACTGGGTGGGTAGACGGGTGGGTGGATTAGTGGGTGTGTGAGTGGATGAGTTGGAAGGGAGTGGAGGAAAGGGAGGAAGGCAGGCAGGGAGGGGGAGAAAAGGAGGCAGGGAGGGTGGGGCTGAATGGAAGGGAGAAGGGGCAGATGGACGTGGAGGTGGGCGGATGCTTGGTGTGTAGAAGAAAGGAGCCAGGGAGGGAGGGAGGGCGGGGGAGAGAGGGAAGAGAGGAGGGCAAGGGGTGAAAGGAGGGTGGTGAATGGGAAGATGAATGCACAGAAGTGTAGGGTAGGTGGGTAGACAGATGGATGGATGAGGAAGGAAGGATGGTGGGCAGGTGGAGGGAAGTGGGTGGAGAGAAGGGCGGGTGGAGGAAGGGGGGTGCAGGGAAGAGGGGTGCAGGGAAGGGCGGGTGCTGGGAAGGGCGGTTGCTACAGCAGGTTTCTCAGCAGGTTTCTCGGTAGCACACAACCTCTTACAGCAGAGCTTGCTGGGAAGGCAGCACCTTCATGTCCTGCCCAGACTGACACCTGACGTTGGTCACTGAGCCTGAGATGGTGACACCATTACCTGTAACCCGGGATCAGCCAGCCCCCCATTTCTGGGGCCTGGCATGCCTGCACCAGATCCCCTGCGGGAATCCAGACACCCCCGAGGTCACACCTCTGACTTTTCTCGGCCTAAAGAGCTGCTTTCTACTTCTTCTCTGGCTCAAACAAGTCTTATAGCAAAGTGCATGCTGGGGACTCCCGTAAACCTGTAACCAGGCTGACATGTGAGGTCAGGTGAGCCCAGGTGGCCGCTGAGGAGCATGGCTGGGCACCTGAGGCCTGAGGCATGGGCCCCCTCACACAGGCTCCCCATGCAGATCCGGCTCCTGCAGTGCCACCTGGGAACCCCTCTACACAGATCCCAAGCTCTCCCCAAGAGACTGTTTTCAGATCAGTCTCAACCCAGATGCTCATCAGAGTCGCCCCATCTCAGGCTGCTAAAGAGGAAGCTTCAGGCTGGTAATTTTAACAAGCTCCCCAGTTTGGAAATGACAGGCAAGGGTGATAATAGTAATAATCCAGGCTCCTTGCCCAGCCTTTACAGAATACAATGTACAAAATTCTAGCAGTAAAAGAGAAAAATGAAAGGCTAAATAACATACTGTGAAGTGAATTTTCACTTCACTGAAAATTTCACTCCATCCAAGGATCCTGATGCCTTTGGAGGAGAGGGCCGTTGGCAAATATTCAAAGAATCGTCCAACTTCTCCCCTTCTCATACGCTAGTTCACACTGCACAAACTAGCACAAAATAATAGAAAAAATCACCTGGCCTTCACATCTCAGTTCCTGACTTTATTGGCTCCTGAAAGCTTGGGGAGCTGGCCCAGGGATGCACAGCTGGCCTCACAGCGTGAGCAAGTGAGGGGGACACAGCATGCCCCAACAGCACGTTCCCAGCCAGGCTCCCGCCCCTCGTCTGTTGGACAACCCCACCTCCCAGACAGGAGTGGGAGTCGTTCTAACTACTGTCACCTTCTGGAATGTTCTGTGAGAAGTCCATAACATCTAACATGGCTGAGCTCTTGGATCCAGGCTCACTCTGACAGCTGATGCTTCTGGCCCTCCCAGAACTCCTCACATGGTGGTCAGCCCTGGACCCAGATGGCCAGTCTCGGGCTGGGACTGCTGCCTCCTCCGTAGCGGCCGCCTTCCCTGAACATTGCTTCAGGATGTCACTATGAAGACACCCAGCAAGAGCTCATAATCTGGGACGGGGGCTGAGCGACCAATCTGAGTAATCTCACCACGCCACGCAGAAGAGCTGTTGATGCTATTCTTGTGGGGAAACCCCAGCCCCTATGTGTCTGTGTGGTGTGTGGTGTATGTGTGTGTGTGTGTGGTGTATGTGGTATGTATGGTGAATGTGGTATGTGTGTGTGGTGTATGTGTGGTGTGGTGGGAATAGTGTGTGGGGTGTGGTGTGGGGGGGATGTGGTATGTGTGGGGAGATAGTGTGTGTAGCACGTGTGGTGTATGTGTGTGGGGTGTGGTGGGATGTGTGGTGGCTGTGGTGTGTGTGTGGGTCTGTGTGGTGTATGTATGTATATGTGTGTGGTGTGTATGTGTGTGCTGTGGTGTGTGGTATGTGTGTATGATGTGAGTGTGTGTGTGATGTACAGTATGTGTATGTGTGTGCTGTGGTGTGTGTGTGTGAGGTGTTTGATGTGTGTTGTGTGCATGTGTGTGGTGTGAGTGTGTGTGGTGTATAGTGTGTGTATGTGTGGTGTGGTGTGTGTGTGGTATATGTGTGGTGTGGTGTGTGTGGTATGGGTGTGTGGGGGAGGTGTGTGTGGTATGGGTGTGTGTATGGTGTGATGTGTGCGTGGGGGGTGAGCGTGGTATGGGTGTGTGTGTGGTGTGGTGTGGTATGATGTGGTGTGTGTGTGGTGTGGGTGTGTGTATGTGTGTGGCGGGGGGGTTGTGGGGGGGGTGAGGCCAGTGGTGGGGTTCAGTGCCTTGGGGGAAGACACAGAAATCCACAAGAAACTTCTGGCCTGTAGCACAGAGGTCCAGGACCCCCAGGGCTCCCCAGTTGCTCCTCCATCTCGAGAGGGGTGGAGTCCCCTCCAGAGCCCTTGCATTCCTTCAGAAGAGAGTGAGGTCACCAGTCTGGGTCAGCATGAGCCAGAGGCAGCGCGGTCAGGCGTGGTCCGAAGTGAAAGCCAAAAAATATGGAAAGAAAGACAGGAACAGGCGACTAGGAGGCAAGAGGAGAGGGAGGAGAGGAAGCGAGAGGACAGGAGGTGGAGAAAGGGAAGGGGGGCCCTGTGCCTCCTCGCTGACCCTGCCCACACCCTGCTTAAGGGGGTGATCTGGGCATGCAGCCTCCTGGGCCCTGGAGCAGGGGCCACACTCCAGGCCCGGCCTCACCAACCTCAGAGAGCTTTTGTTGAGCAGCCGGGGACAGACACCCCGGCTCGCGGTCACACCCGCAGCCATGGCTGGAAGGATACTGCAGCGTCTTCATGTAAGTCTGCACTGCCTGCAGCCAGTCCGGGATGGGCGTGGGCAGCCTGTAGTTTGGAACCTGGGGGACTGAAGGCTGTGGGAGAGAGAGAGATCTTTCCATCAAGGAGACACTATGGGGCAGGACACAGAGGAAATTGTCCAAGCTGCTCCTGAGGGTGGACAGCCACGCTGGTCAGGTGACCTGCTCAGGTCTGCTTCCTGAGCCAGGCCCCCAGCCCGGCCAGGCGCTTGCTGACAGTCTCCCATGTTCCCCTGCTGATCCACACGGTCTGTGATGCGCACACGGGTCTCCCCCCAGTCTCAGCACCTCCTGGAAACCCGGAACCACATCCTACGGTGTCCCCTGAGCCCCTAAGCCTGGCCTGTGAGCTGCTCCTCACAGGCTGGCTGCTGAAACCCCCCCAGCTGCAGGGCAGGGGCTCACCTGTGATGTGGGTGCCACCTGAGGTGCCCTTTACAGAGTCACTGTTGGCCTGGAGAAGTGCAGCATGGTGTGGGGGCGCCACTTCTCCCCATCCTCCCCTTCCCCATATACTAATGCGCCCTGCTTCCCAGATCAGCTGATACCGCAAAGGCCCTGCCTGGTCAAGATGTCAGTGCACTGGCCGCAGTAATGACCTGCCCGAGGGCAGCAGAGGGCAGCTGAGGTGGGGCGATCCCCACGACCAACTAAAATGCCACCCCTGGTGCGTCTGCTCCATCTGGGACCCGGACCCACATGACCTGGCCCTGCACGCAACGCCCCCACGAGTGGCCCCACGGCTACGAGAGCTGGAGGAGCACCCAGTGGCTGGGCAGGGGTGCCCGGCGCAGCCCTGAATCCCCCGTGCCTGGCCACGTGCTCTCTCCGCTGGAACTGCTGCTGCTAAGGTGTGGCCTCTGCCTGGCCCGTGAGGGGGAGAGTCCAGAGGTGCTGGGACCCATAGGGGCCCAGGGCTATGTGTCCACTGCCCAGTGCTGGACTTGCCCTTGCCCTGCTCCTTCTGAACACTGGGCCCATCATTCCTCTGGGGTACAGCCGCCCGAATGTCAGCCCAGCCCAAGACAGCAGAGGCTGCTCGGGAGACCCACGGCCACAGCCCCATGTGCCCTGCTGGGCCTGTCCCTGGCCCCCTCCCTCATAGCTGTTTAGGAGACATACTTGTCACAAGAGCAGTCAGTGAAAATGCCCAGATGGTGGGGGAAGCAGTGGATGTTCAGGGAGACCCCAATACACACACAAGAGGAACAGGCACAGGTAAACCTGGCGGCTTGTGGAGAGCCCCCAAGTTAACAGGCACAGGCGCCCACTGCAGCCGATGTGAAATGCTTGCAGACCATCCGCGGTCCTAAGAGCTTTCCATTGCTGGCCAGGGACAATCACCCCAAGATGTGGCCCTCTCCTTGCAGATGGAGGGCTGCCCACAGCTCATGCCTGGTCATCAGCCTTGCCTAGAAGTTTAAAACCTTGTCCTTCTGCCACCGATGGAATTGTAGGCTTACAGGGTTGTCATGGGGCCCCATCATTCCTATCAAGGTTGTCATGTGGGGCCCCCATCATTCAGATCAAGGTTGCATGCATTTGACTCAAGTCCTAACTGAAAGCTCCTTGCTTCATGGAAGTTTGCACTTGTGAGACCTGAGCCAGACCTCATGGCTTTGAGAGTCCCCACTGGGCCCCGCCCAAAGGAGGCCCTCTGCTCAGCACTCTGGAAACCACCTTCCCTCCGACCCTCCCAGCGCCCAGTCACCCCCTCCTCCTAGCCTCCTCTGGCCACATGCACAGGGTCTAGAGTTGAGGGGGCCGCGTTCCTGCCCCTGCTGGGAAGAGAAAGGAGCAGTGGCCAGTCTGGAAAGGGGAGGTCAGCACCTCCTCGCAGGAATTCAGTCTCAGCAGCTCTGCCCAGGGGCCCCGAGCAAGAGCTGGCAGGGGCTCTAACCTAGCGGCATCCTAGGAAGCAAGGAGTGGCCTTGCTCTGTTGATAACAGAGACACTAGCCCAAGGGCCTGCAGCTTCAGGGAGGGAGGAGGCTGGGGCGCAAGGCGTTTCGCAGGAGCAGGGCAGGTTAGTTCCATGCTCAGGAGAACAGGGAAAGAGGCCCTGGGGAGCCCGGCCTGGCTGGCAGCAGCGGAGGCCCTTCCAGGCCTGCACCTGAGCTGCGCTCACTTACAAGGGCTCTTGACATTCTTGCCTCTCCGCACCTCCAGTGCCTCTTGGCTTTGGAATGTCCCTACTTCACAGCAACTGCCCGTGCAGCCAAAGAGATGGTCACAAATGCCACTTTCCAGCCAGGGTGCTCTGTGTGTGTGTGAGTGTGCGCGCGTGTGCGCGCACATGCACATTGTTTGGCAAACTGTTGGGTTTACCATGCATGGACTCAAATCACAGTCCCATCTTGGAGAGTCCTTTTGGGGAGCAAATAGCTCCCATGGGACACCCACTCACAGGACCCTCCCCAGCACCCCCATACACACACCGAGTCACAGTGCTAAGTGTGTCCTCGTGTTTCTGTTGCCTCCCTACCCAGAATTTCAGCTATGAGTCAATGAGGGGATGTAACTGCAAAGGACGAGGAGGCACTGACAGAGGCTGTGCCTGTTCGGCCTGAGGATGAGCTGAGATTTCAAGAGGGAGAGGCAGGGCGCACGGCCTCCTCGTCAGCCCCGGCGGGGCGAGGTGTAAGCGGGGGACGTACAGGACCCTGCACTCTGCACCCATGTGCAGGGAAGCTGGTGAGGATAGGGAAAGGCCCCAAGAATATCTAGCCACCTAAGGGTCCTGAGGGGCATCCTTGGCCAGAGCCCTGAGGTGGCCAGAGGCTCATTCCAGGGCCTGCTGGGGACCCATCCAGAGGGTTAGGTCAACTCTCCACAGCCTGACAAAGCCCCCAAGAGCCGCAGGGTGGGTGGGGGCAGGCGGCAGCTGGACCTCAGAAGGGCAGCCCGGTGGCGCCCAAAGGATTTTACAAACAGCTGCCCGGTTACCTCAGCCAGGCTGAGGGGCTGGGGTCACATTCCCCAAACCAGCTGGAGTGGGAGCAGGGGTGGGGGAGGAGAGATGGCTGAGGGGTGACATCAGCTGACCACAGCTCACCCTGACCCCTGGGGCGGCAGGTCAGTCTGGGCCTGGGGTCAGCCTCCAAGCACAGCCTCAGCCACCGTGTCCCAACAGATGGTGGACAGGGAGCCGGATGTAAGGGGGATGGACACAAGGTTCATGTCCCTGCCCTGTGGACCCCGGGCAAGCTGTGTGGCCTCTGGCCTGAAGTCTCTTCCCGGTGAGAGAGCTGGACTAGCACCTGCCTGGAACCATCGGGCTGCTATGAGGATTCTGTGGCCTAAGGGTCCCAACTCAGGCAACTCAGGGTCTGCCCACCCGTGCTCTGCACCTTGCTGGGTGGTTATTCAGCAACCACTGTTCTCAGGGGTCTGCCCTGGAAACCTGTGTGGTACTTGCTTTTCAGGAAAACAGAATCTGCAGTGATCAGGCCTTTGCACACACCACTCAGGGGCATCACGAGATGACCCCTCACCCTAATGGGAAGGAGGAAACTTCCACTTCCCCCGGACACTCATCGTAGTAGCCTTCGTTCCTAAAGAATTCACATGGTGCTAAGAAAACTCTTTAGGTCTTAATGAAAAGAAAATGGCCACAAAGGGCCTCCCTGGTGGCCTAGGGGAGGGGTTGAATCTCAGGCTATTACCGCTATGGCCTGGGTTCGATCCCCGGCCAGGGAGATGACCCACATGGCGCAGCAGAACTCTCCTGTCTTACCCACTGTTCCACTCAACAGTGTATTTCAGTAAATCCACCTATGTTGCTCCCCACTCTGTCTCTGGTGAATTCTCTCACCCCCTGCACCTCTGACCTGTACCCCAGCTCTTCTATGCATAAATAAACAAACAAATAAATAAATAAAATCTTTTAAAAAAGAAAGAAAGAAAATGGCCACAAAAAGTAGAAGCAAATCAAGAATTGTGGATGGAGGGCTAGATAAATGAAATATGGTCCATCCAGACAATGGACTATTACTCAGCCTTAAAAAGGAAGGAAATTCCGAAGCAGGCTACAGCAGGGATCAACTCTGAGGACATTACGCTGCATGGACTAAGTCGGTCACAAGAGAACAGATTCTGCCTGGTTCCATTTAAATGAGGTATCTAGAAAGGTTAAATTCAGAGACAGAAAGAAGGATGGGTGCCAGGGACTAGGGGTGGGGGCAAAGGGAAGTGAGCGTTTCAGTGGGACAAAGTCTCAGCTGGGCAGAAGCAGCAGCTGGGGGTGGACGGTGTGATGTCACACAGCAGCGTGGACGCACTCAGCACCAGATGGTAAACTACCTGCTATGTGCGTGTCACCAAAATTTCACAAGAGAGGAAATATAAACAGCGAACAAAGATTTGGGGAGAATAAAAAGAAGAATAAATAAATAAAATTGAAAAAAAAAGATTTGGGGAGAAATGTTCTAGTTTACTAATCATTTGAGAAATGCAAGTTAAAGCCACTGAAAATGTGATTTTCCACTTCCGGGCAGAACTTCCCCTCAGTGCCAGCAGGATGGCCAGCGGCCAAAGCAGCTCAGTCCCCCTTTCAGGCTTTGGAGACTTTCCTCTGTCCACGTCTTCTGTTCTGGGTCCACATTCAATCGCCAAACAAGGTTCATCTCCCTGAAACTCATCCTCCCACCTCCAACTCTTTCTGTACAAATTCCTCAGCAAGACTCGGCTAAAGGAGGGAAGGACTGAGCCCCAGGGAAAACATCCTCCAGGCCACGTGAGGAGCGGTCCCTCCAGGGTCAGAGAGGAGCAGGCCCTAGAAACCCAGTTTTTGCAGCCCACACCAGGGTCTGGCTGGGGCCAGGGTTTGGGAGTTCCGGATCAGTGAGGGGAGCGTGCCTCAATGGGGTCGGGGCTGAGTGTCAGCCCTCATGCTGCCATTGAGACAGGGGTGTCAAGTTCTTTGTTTTGGGCCAAGAAGCCAATGCCCACCTCGGGCTGGATGGCCCCGACTTGACAATTCTCATGTGACCTCCAGGCAGCTGAGAAAGTGCAGGATGGTGTGGCTGCAACGAGGAAACGGGACTCTAAGAACACGGCCTTCGGCCACAACAATGGAGTGTCGGCTCTGCTCTGGGGCGTAGTTCCAGGTTCTAAACAGCCCAGGCAGCGTTAAGTGCCCCCCATGTGCTTATTCAGGGGACTGTCGGAGACAAACTAGAAAGAAGGCAAGACGTCAACCAGGGAGCATGGCACATAAAGAGACACAGGAGCTCCCTCTGGTCTTTAAGGAAGCCTCATAATGGAAGAAGGTCCCCGGCTGAGGCTGTTGCCCAGGGCCCCTCCAGAGCCACCAGCACTGGGAACCTAGCACTTCTGGTCACAGTGTGGCGGGATTTGAGCCTTGGACGGCAGAGCACGTGACACTTCCCCTTTCATGGATGAGAAAACCAAGGCCAGAGATTCTAAGCAAGCGACCTGGGTCACCAGGCCAGAGGAAGCACCGGCAGGAGGCAGGACTAGTTCTTGTCTTGTGCTCCAAGAGCAGCATCTTGTAACCAGCAGGGAGCCGGAGTGGAAAGAAAGCTCCACCCACCCCAGGCCCAGGCTCAAAATGTATTTGAGGGGAAGGAGAGGATCTCTGTCTCAACAACCCAAACTAAATCTGGCCAGGCCAGGGACCAGACGCACCCCCACACCTAGGGGTCTTCTGAGAGGTGGGAGACTACACCCAACTCACATTCTGTGATTCCCTCAGAGAAAGGGGATCTGCTCAAGGTCGGGAGAGGGACGAAGCCACCGTCAGAAGCAGCGTGGCTGAGCAAACGCACGGGGAGGCCGCAGGGAACACCGGACAGGCCTCTGTACCCAGCAGCCCCCTCTCCGCCAGGTCTAAGGGCTCCAGGCTCCTCCTTTGGTAATGAAAGGCTTCCTGAAGTCAGGCCAAATTCTGAAGTCAGAACTGCCAGGCCGCCCCAGGGTGATTCTCAAGGTCAAGGAGATCTCAGCAAGGGTGACTGTGGTTGACAGCAGACAAGAGACTCTAGCTGGGCAGCGGGAAGAGCTCCTTAGCCAGCAGTCATAAAACTACACCAGACCACTGTGAAGCTTTCAGGCTCATCACGACCCCCAAGGGTGCACTCAACTTCCTGACCCACCATGCTCAGATGCTCAGGGCACCAGCTGCTTGAAGTTGGGGACTCAGACCAGATGGCCGCCCAGGTCTCAGGCCTGGCATTCCCAGACCTGCCCAGGAATCTTCTCAGCCCTCCCAGTGTCCCCAGGGTGCAGGGGAAACCATCTGTCACACAACACCCCCAGCCTCTGCTGCGCCAACCACATTTGAATTTTTGACCACTGTGCTATCTCCTTCCCCCTGTTCCACGCAACCAGTCCTGGGCCCCCAAGCCCAGCCAGCACCCTGGCTTCTCTCCAAGGTAAAGAGTTTCACTCTGGGCTGTCACGTGTCCTGGAGAGCCCCTTTGAGCCAAAAACTCCTCTTTTTCTTTCTCAGAGCCTAGAGAAGCCATGAAATCAGGCAGTTAGCTCTTTTGCAAGTTTCAGAGGTGAAAGTGTCAAACAAAAATTTGGCAAAAAGTCTAGAAATGATTCATGCTGAGAAGTGTGACTGGTTGGTTGCAAATTCATTCACAGACTAATAAATCATTAACCAGGGGAGATACACAGGACCCAGAGATTCCAAAGAGGGCTGCAGATGGGAGTGCTGGCGGGCATCTGAGCCGGCACTGGACTCCTCTGCTTTTGCAGAAGGAGAAGGTGCCTGAAGTGAGGTGATCACCACAGAGTTTGGCTGAAGAGTTAAAGAAACCTCCCCAAGGCCCACCACACAGTCCCAGGTTCGGGAGAGCCCACCTCGCCTTCCCATATTTCTAAGGCTTCGAAGACAGAGGCTCAAGGGAGCAGCCAGGTGGGGGCTGGCGGGAAGACAGGAGAGGGAGGGGGATCTGTAGCAGGATAGGGAAGGTGGAAATCGTCTCTCTCTTCGCTACCAAAGGCTGAGACAGTCCCATCCCTGCGCACCCCACCCCTCTCCTTCGAAGCCACTGACCTTTGCCAAGAAGGCCGCGTTTCTGATGGCGCCCACCATTTCTCCCCCCTTGGGGTGCACCTTAGCCACGTGCATCCACATGCGCTCCCAGGTGTGGCTGTCGATGGGGAAGCCGCTCTTGTTAACGTGAAACAGCACCCCGCCGTCTTTGTCTTCCTCCTCCGAGCCGCCGCTGGTGGCCAGGCTCACGGGCCGCGCGTGGCTGCTCCGGGACCGGGTGCCTTTGGCGCCTTTGGGATGGGGGCAGCGGCGAGTGTCCGCGGCGGAGCCGGTCATGGCGGGGGCGGGGCGGCGCCGCAGGGGGCGTGAGCGCGCGGGCGGGGGGCGCGGAGATCAGCGTCCCCCTGGGGCGGCCTTCTCCATGCCTCTTGCTGCAGCAGGACGCGCCAAGGGGGAGCGGCGGCTGGAGCTCCGCTTACCGGCCGTGCCTGCAATCAGTGGGCACAAGGCGCAGAGCACCGTGAGCGCCAGGAGGCGGCTCCGCGGGGGGCCGGTCGCGGCGCGTGGCCCAGGGTGTCCCCACGTCACTCCCCGCTCCCCCGCGCGCGCTGACAGACCCCGCAAGGAATGGAATCCGCGCTCCCAGCCCTGCACCCCCTAGCCTGGCGGCTGGGGCTCTGCCACAAAGCTCCCACGCCCCCAAACCCGGGAGGGTAACAACAGGGGCGTGGGGGTTGGGGACGGGGCTGGGGTAGGGAGCAGACACAGCCCTGCGGCGTGAAGGAGCAAGGGGTCCCTGCGGGCGCTACACATTCCTCTGGTCCCGGAGGCGGCCGAGCGCCCAGCCGAGAACGTGCCGGCACGTGAGCGCCCGGGGCTGGCGCGAGGGCGCAGCAGCTGCCCGGGCTGCACGGGCGGCACCACTGCTTCCAGGAAGCCCTCCGGAGCCCCCGGGCCGGGCTGCAGCGGCAGTCGCTCCACCCGCCCCTACTTGCCGAGTGCCGGCGCCAGGCGGCCGGGGCGCGGGCTGCGCGCGGGCTCCCGACCTCACCTCCGGACGCGCCGCCTGATTGAGGCCGAGCCTCCGCCGGCGGCGCGGGCGCGGGGGGGGCGCTGCTGCTGCTGCTGGGCGGGGGGCGGGGGCTGCCGGGGCTGCCGGGGCTGCTGGGGCTGCGGCGGCCGTCGCCTCATTCCATGTCCCATTCTCGAATGTTATTCTGTGACATAGAACAGAGTCACCGGGGCAGCCGCCGATGTTCCGAATGCGTCCATTGGCCGCCGCAACAAAGAGGGGCGGGTCCCGGTCTCGGGGCTCTACAACCCGGGGCTCCGCGGCGCTCTCATTGGCTCCGCGGGCTCCGGGCGGGAGGGGACCCGAGTGTGCGGCGCTGGGCGGCCCCGCGCAATCCGATCGCCCGCGGGTCCCGGGATCCCATCCCGGGGGCCAGCGCGTAGGTCTGGACTGAGGCGAGTTTCCGCAGGGGGCCTGGCGCCGGGAGCGCTGGCGGCGGTGGGAAGCTGAGGGGAAGCCGCGCCACCCTGGAAATGACCCTGAGGGAGAGGAAGGCTGGTCGCTAAAGGTGCATTTCCCTAGCAAGGGGCCAGGTCACCTGCGGCACCCACGGGTGATGCGTCGCTCAGGCAAGGGGAGGGCACACTACTACATCCTTTAAAATCCCGGTTACAAACCCCTCAAAACTCACAAGTGGACACGCCCACCGACCCTCTGACATTAGTCACTATGAATAAATTTCTTCTAAACCCTAGTTGACAGGTGACACTGGACCCGGGAGGCCAGCCAGGCCCTGACTTCTGTGGCCTCTGCTGAGCAAGAGTCCGGGCTGGAGAGGGCCCTTAAAGTAAGGGCAGCCCCTCTGTGCAGGCCACCAAACACCCCTTCCACGAAAGGCTTTTTTTCTTTTTTAAAGATTTATGTATTTATGCATACAAAAACAGGGGTGCAGACCAGAGGTGTGTGTGGGGGGGAGAGGATTCACCAGAGTCGGAGTGGGGAACAGAACAGGTGGATCTACTGAAATATACTGCTGAGGGGAGCAGCAGGGAGACAGGAGAGGTCTGCTGCACCATGTAGGCAGCTCCCTGGCCGGGGATCAAACTCATGCTGCAGTGGCTGCGTCTTAACCCCTTGTGCCAACAGGGAGGCCCATAAAAGTCTTTTTTTCAATTTTGTAAGAAATAGAAGAGCAGGGGAAATGAACAGAGCAGAGGCCACTGTCCTAAGGCCTGGCCCAAGTTCATGTTCCTCACTTGGTGAAGCTGTGTGACCCAGGACAGGTCACTTGCCTGCTTGGGGCCTAGCGTCTCCATCTGCAAAGCAGAGAATTGACCCCTGGCTCTCCAGGGTCTGCTATGGCCCTGGGTTTCTGCCAGTCTCTCGTGTCCTCTGTCCTGGACACGGAACCTGGCCATGGTGATAGCCTAGCTTGAGAGGGTGAGACCGCGGTGGTGGCATGCAAAGCTAGGAACAAATTAGGAGCCACCGCCAGAAGACTGGCTGATGGCAGGTCAGTCTTGGAGGTGACCCCCCCAAGCTGCCCATGCTAGAGCAGGAATCCAGAGGCCGGTGAGGGGCCTGGCAGTGACACAGGACTTGGCGAGGGTCCCTGGGCTGGACTAGGCCTTCAGCGTGGTCAGAACCCCCACCCAGGACCTTACAGTCACCCCCAGAACAAACACTGAGGCCCATACCGACAACGGCAAAGGGCCAGGAGAGGAAATGCTCTGAATAATTCAAGTAGAATCAGCCCGCTTGGACAAAAACTAGCGTCCTCTCGGCTGGAAAGCTCTTCAGCTTCCCCCCCACCCATTCAAGGGAAACACCCTTGAGGGGTGAAGTTTCTCCCCTCCTCCTCCCTCCTCTCATCCCGCAAACCTGTCACTTTCTCTCATTTCTGAGTTTCCGTGGCCTTTCAAGTCCAGCGATTAGAGTTTCAGGATGAAGACCAGGGGCAGAGAAGGAGAAGCTGGCTCACCAGTCGCTCCGGAGAAAACTGAGCCCACATAGCTGGAGCAGACCTGGATGAGCGCCCCTCATCTGAGAGCGCCCCCTCATCTGAGAGCACCCCTTATTCAGAGAGCACCCCCTTCTTAGACTTCATGCTGTGTCCCCACTGAGGCCCGGTCCACATGAACCACCGCTGCCCTGTCAACCAAGCCTGGCTCCTGCGTTACCTGAGCCAAAGTCCAGGGACCAAGAGGGTGCTGGGTTCACCTTCCTGTGCAGAGGCAGGATGGGCCCAGAGCCGCTGCTCCACTGCTCCCTGCAGAGGGGAAATCATCACTGCTCCCCTCCATCGTCCAGTTTCTGCTCACTTCTTCCCTGAGAAAGGGTGCGGGGATTGGAGTGACTTGGCAGCTGTGAAGAAGCTGGAGATGAGCAGGAGATGGGCTGCTTGTCCACAGAGGTGGCGTCTGGGTGAATGACGCCAGCCTAGAGGTAGAAACCTCTTTGCCAGCAGCTCAGAACCCCTTTTTGTCATCGGGGTCCCTCACACATGAGTCATGCTAGGCACACAGACAACCCCCCATTCACTTCCCTGTGTGGGTTTTTTTAGATTTATTTTTGTGTAGAAGAACTGGGGTGCAGGCCAGAAGTGCAGTGGTGAGAGGACTCCCCAGTGACAGAGTGGAGAGAAGAACAGGAGGATCCACTGAAACACATTGCTGAGGGGAGCAGCGGGGAGATAGGAGAGGTCTGCTGCGCCGTGGGGGTCAGCTCCCCAGCCAGAGATTGAACTCAGGCCACAGTGGTGATAGCTGAGACTAACCCCTGCCTTTTGGCAGACACAGGGCCATGAGGGACAGCCAGGCATCGGGACCTACACCCCAGAGCATGACCTCCCCAAAGTGAGGCGGGGGTGGGGGGCAAACCAGCCTACAGAGTAGCAGGCAGAGTGGCAGCACCCCCGACAGAGCAGCAGCCACAGAGTGAAGGCCAGGAGGGCGGGTGATGGGTGAAGGGGTGAGAGCGGAGGATGGGCCAGTGTTCAGGTCCAGGCATCATGTCCAGGGAGAACCCTATACTTGGAACCTGTGTGCTATGAACCACTGTCATCCCCCCAAAATGTTTGAAAAGAACCCACACTGCAAAAACAAGTAAGCAAATAAATACATTAAACTGCTAGGGGAGTACAGGCGCCTGGGGGCAGAGCAGCCTGGGGGGGGAGGGGGGTGAACAAGGAAGCAGCCTCCTCTGCCCACAGGGCTTGGAAGATGTCCTCCTGGTAGGGTTTGGAGAAGCTGAGAGTCAAGATCCCAGTGGGCCCATGGGCTGGGACTGAGGGTTCATAGCACCCCAGCCCCCAGCATACTTGTGGGGATGCCTGGAGTGGGGTGTCTGGGCCTTGCTGCTTCAAGGGCCGCTTATCTCTCGGGGTCATCTTTCAGCAAAGGCTTTGTCCTTGAGAGATTTGGCTGCTGCTCTCTTTTTCTTTTAATAAAGGAAAGATTATTTGTGTTCCAAAGTCGTGGCTCGAGTGAGCTGTTTCCAGCTGTGGAGGACAAAATGGGCCTGCTGGGGCCCTCGCTTTACAGAGCTGGGGCCCAGAGCCCCAGAGAGGAGACACAGAAAAGCAGAAGACAACTCATTCCTTCTAGGTCTTTCTGGGGAGCAGCTCAGGTTGTGGGGAGGACGATGGGGACACTTTGGCCTGGGGAGTTGCGGTGGACAGAGAGCCTAGCCAGGAAGGAGGGGGCAGCATGCATGGACCTCTACCCCAGAAGGCCAAGGCGAAGGAGGGGCCGCGTGAGGCTGGCTCTGGCGCTCTCCCCCCACCAGATAAGTTGAGGCCCAAAGGCCTTGACCTAAGGAAGAACCTTCTGCACTTGAGCCAGGAGACCCTGAGATGTATTTTCAGAGAGGTTGGCGGCCATGTATTTGGAGAAGAGATGAGCACTCTGGATTAGGGCTTAACCCTGCTAGACCTAGCGGATGATCCTGGATGTACCCCCTCCCAGCTCTGAGGCTTGGTCTGTGAAACGAAGAGGTTCCATGAGCTCCTGAGTGTCCTAGACGCTGGTTAGAGCCCCCAGGGAGCTGCGGCTTCACCCACCAAGTTGGATCTTCAGGAGTGGGTCTGGGTATCAGAACCCCACAAATATGAATCTAAATCTGACACAGCCAAGTGTGAGGCCCGCAGGGCCAGCTGGTCTCTGATGGTGTCAACCCACTTTCAGGAAAGGAGGGTGGGGTGATGGCAGGGGGTGCTCAGCAGAAGCAGCCAGGGGTCCACTGCCCCTAGAGGCGTGACCTGAGGCCCCAGGTGGACAGGCTCTGGCAGCCAAGTTCCAGGCAGATGTGCTTCTCCCACTAACTCACTCTA